TTTTCTTTCTTTCTTGTTTTCCCTCTTGTGCACTGAATTTTTCTTCTGTCTCAGTAGTGCAAGCATAATACTTTCAGTCGATCCAGGCATAGCAAACCAGACAGCAAGTCTGGTCTGACATATTCTAGATTTTTCTATTTTATAAGATTATAAACAAGAACCCATATTATTACCATTTATAAATACAAATGGTAGCCATCATCAGTTTGATGGAGGAATTGGTTGAACACAGGCTCTGACAGTATAAAAGAGAATTAATCTGAAAGTCTTTTATATCCTATTATCTCTCCTATCAGAATGCTTATAGTGTCCATACTTTCTTTAGTGACTGTACTCTTGGGCTTAAATAACAAAAGAAAATGAATATTTAATAAAGTATGATTAATTTCATCTCCAACTGTACATAATAAATTGTCATATACAACATATGTTACATATGCAATTTATAAAATAGATCTTTTATGATATATAATTAGAATTAATCATATGCCATTAAATATTAATTTATATTAATACAATAAATCGCTGATCTTAAAAAGTTCCCTCAAACATATACTTCATCACATTTGTAAATCACATATAAAATATATAACATATCCAATCACATATATACTTATATATAACATTATATGAAAATATAACTTTTGGCTGTCTAAATTTGCTAAATCAAATCCACATCGCCACTGCCTTTTACCTTTAGCTTAGCCTTAACTGAACAGATATCCTTTTGACATTTGGAACCATTACAAGGTTTGATTAAAACAAATTAGGATTAATAGTTATTTTTAGAGTAATTTCTATATACATGTATAATGTTATATTTATACCTTAAATTGTGAATTTCACCAGTAGTAAAAGTGAACAGTTTGGGAGATTTCGAGTTTTATCTTCAAATATCTGAATGATTTAGAATTTTTAAAAAACATTTATAGAAATTCCACTAGTGTGTTTTTTTTAGCAAGTTTTAAAAATAAAAGAATACATAAGGATCTGTTAAAACATTTACCATAATATTTATTCTTATAAATTAAAGTATTCAGAGATCCAGATATAATATCCATACTTACAAGGATAAAGATAAAAAGCTCTCTGGAAAGATTAAAAAGAGTCCAGCAAGATATTGGGAAAATTATATTTTTTCTGTGATAAAATGAAAAGACCATCTTAACTTTCAAAAGTTTCTATGAGTTAGGTCATGTTCATAACATGTTGTATTTCTGCACTTTGGTGTGTTAGCTACCAAAAAGAAAAGTCTAAAGGAGTTAACATAGTTTTAAAATGTTTATCATGACTTTTAAAAAATGGAATTCTCATATAATCCTCTTTTTTTAGACTTGTAAGGCCCTATTCCTCTATTTTTCACCTTATAATGGGAGGAGTTGTTTCCCTTCTTAAAGAGCATTCTGAGAGAGACCCAGCAAAATAATAAATCAACAACCCTTTTATATCCATTCCAACTTTTTCTAAGTGTTTGAGACTTTAGAGTCCCTCTTTAAATACTTGAGTTGAATTCATCACAGAATCCCAGATCCAGGACATTTTTATTTTGGTTCCAGATAGCTTTTTCCATAAAACCCCCTGATGGAAGAGACCTGTTAACTCTTTTATGGAATTTAACAGAGAAATTGATTCCCTTCCATTTTTCTCAAACACAAAATACAGAAAGGTTATGTTAGTAGTGTCTCTGCTCCTGGTACCTAACTCGGATGACCTATAGTTCATAGGGCTGCAATATAGTCGAAATTTTGAGAATATACTAATTTTAAAGATGTTATAATTATATTTTTATAAGCATGGTTGAGCATACTTAATAGACAAACCTGTGGGAGAAACTGCATAAAGCACTTAGGTTTTTAATTATATTTTTTATTTGCCTAAAAGACCTATTTTATAACATAAAAACATAGATGTGATATCTTATCTTCTGAAAGGCTTGGTTCCACCAGCATTACATTCCATTTTCCCCCCACATAATTGTTTTGAGGCAACAAATTGTCATTATGTTTTCATTTAAACTACCCCTCTCACTTCCCAAATGCCTGTTGGTATATTATTATTGCTAGGACGTAAACCAACTTTATATGTGGACATCTCTGAATCCAAGTATTCAAATTATACTTTGGGGCCACTGTAATTATAAGAGGAAAGACATACTTTTGCTTAAGTCTCTTTAAGATCTAAAGACATGAGATATGATGAAATGGCAAGTGGTAGCAACACCTTGAAAAAAAGCGCTGGATTTCTAAGGGTGGTAGATGGGATTTCAAGCACATTCTTATGTGATATGAGGAAGCATGCCCAGAATCTGCCCTCATTAGGTCGGGCTCTTGCCAGATCTTTTCAAACCTCAGTTTCATGAGCACCATAAAAATTCACTTAAAATCAAAAAGAACACCCTGAAGTTAAAACCCACACTGCCTAGCCTTGCCTTTCGTGGCCTGGAATGTCACCTTTTACCTCCAGTAAATAAAGCCAACATCAACACTCTTCCGTGTCTTTTATTTTTTATGCACTCAGTATTCTTCGCATGACAATTTGGACACTTGAAGGGAAATTACAGTAGTGATCTATGTCCCGGCAAAGAGAATTGTCTTTCTAATATATAGTTACAACGTATCCATCACTTTCTTTTGTTTCTTGGACTGTTCACATTGGATTGAGTAAATCTAAAATGGAATTAAAAGAGACATGATAAATAGTGGACGCCAAAGAAATAATGATATCATAATACTTTCTTCCAGTGATCTGGCATGTGTGTCTCTAAAGCATTCCCCAACACAGACAATTGTACCATTTTACGGTCTTGCGGGATATTGTCTCTTTAACCTCACTGTTTCCGAGAAGCCACCGAAAAGTTCTAATATGTCACAATTCAAATGTCAACATGTTGTTGGAAAGGAAGCTAATAAGTTAAACCTTTGAGAGATGCCAAAAGAAGAGGTGATTCAAACTGTTGAGAGAAGTCCATTGTTTTCTAAGGGGAACTAGGACTCTAGAATGAAACAAGGTACTAACAAGCGTTTAACTGGAAGGTTTAGGGAGAAAAAAAGCAAATGAACACATTTTTTTTTTTAACCTGGTAACTTTTAGAGCAGTCTGTTCCTCTCAACGTACTTCCAAAGAAAGGAAAATATGAATGTTACGGTTAATAAGATACAAACTATAAATTCTCTGGTTTTTATAGAATCAGCACATAACAAGGAGTTATTTTCCTAAGATAGTCTGGATTCTATCTATGGATAGAGATAAAGAATCTTAGGTCATATCATATTAGAGGAACATTTTAGGTCATATTATATTAGAGGATCATTTTTATGTTTGGCATTATTTTCTGTAAACCAGCTTCATGTGGTTAAAGTACTGTTGCGTGACAAAAAAATGATTCTATTTTGATAGGAAAGAAACTAAGCAGAAAATACTCCTCATTGAGTTATTTTTTGAATTTAACACAGTTTTGTACTCTGGTCTTTTTAAAGAAAAATAAACAATTGGAGTTTAGAGCCACCTACTGGAATGAAGAGGCACGTACTTTTGTTTAATGGTCTCTGCTTTTCGAAAGATAAACAAATAAATATAATTAAAGTTTTGCACATTTCTTTTTATCTCATAAGACATTAAATTACTCAACTTTTCTCAGTTTGAACTATTAAGTGATCCTGCAAGAAACCACAGTTAGAGCAAAGTTTTCTCAAAGTAGATCCTTCCCTTTTCTTGGCAGGGTATGCCAGTTTGTGTTATGTGATTTTTCACCTTATTGCATTGAGACTGAGGAGAATTGAATCTCTGATTTTGTTGCTGTCATTGTTACTTTTGCTGGAATGTGTATGTGTGTGTGTGTCTGTAATTATTCTCACTTAAGAATTTTTGTTTAATACATAATCTTAGAATTAAAAATTAAAAACCTTTTGTGTTAAAATGAAAAAGCACCTTAAACATTTTCATGATTAAGTTGTTTTTATATTGATATATCCATTATATTAGTTTCAGGTATGCAACATAATGATTTGATGTTTATATATGTTGCAAATCAGAACTAAATGCCTTTATAAATGAAGAAACCCTGAAGCCTGGACAAGCAAATTGGGCAATGACTTACCTAAGGTCACTGAGCTGGTCAGGGAAAGGTAGGCAGCTCTTGGAAATTATAGGTCAGGATTTTTTCCATACTTGCACACTGTTTTTAGTCAGTCATTAATGGATTTATTCAACCCTTCCTCTCATCAACATTTTGTGTGAAAGTACGAGGAATAAGCACCACCCCCAAACCCTGGTAAAAGAATCAATTGAAAGCATAGTGCTTGCTTTCAAAGAGTGGGATCAGGAGCTTGGTCATGAAGGCAGGTCCTGGATCTGTGAGTATCACTTTTGATTGATAAAAGAGGGATGCAGTGTTTAAAAAAAGAAACACTCTCTTTTAAAACTATGTTTTTTTTCAGATCTTTTCATGATTCTTTATGTTGGGTCCCTCCAGACTGTTGTCTTAAAAGCACCTTGTTGAGAACGTGCTACTTTTGAGAACATGGTGAAGAAGGGGAGGTAATTCTGTCCCTGCCAGCCTTTGCCCAGCCATGGCTGGATAATGCAGGGCACAGGCATCAATCAGTTGTGCATGGTTCACCAGAGTAAGGAGTTCAAAGAAGGGATCGTCTTTTCTCTGGTGATCTCTTCATGTCTCTTAAACATTATCATAAATAAATGTTTAAATTCTTGGTTAAACATTTCACAAGGTGAATGTGATACAGCAAGCCTTACATTTAGAAAATTTGACTTGTGAAGTGGGAGTTGGAAAAAGATTTGTGAAATGGCATGAGAGTCCCAGCCTTCCGTTCGTCATCAGAGGGCTAATTTTCAGTGTATAAAACAGGAAGTTGGAGTTCTTTTGATGAAAATGAAAAGGAATATTTTGTTAAAATATGGGGAAATGAACAGTTGTCTTCATGTATATCTTGCCCTTAACATTCACGTCTCTTTCTCTTTCCCACGCTCGTTGTCTTTTGAAGATATTTTATAGAGTAGTCGCAGACATCGCACCAGGAGAGGAGCTCCTGTTGTTCATGAAGAGTGAAGACTATTCCCATGAAACCATGGCGCCGGATATCCATGGTTAGTGCCACTCACGCTGCCGACCGCCCCACCCTCACTTGGAGACAGTGATGGAGCCTGTCAAGGGACCCATCACGCTTGGTGTTTGTCAGTTTCACGCTGCCGACCGCCCCACCCTCACTTGGAGACAGTGATGGAGCCTGTCAAGGGACCCATCACGCTTGGTGTTTGTCAGTTTCACGCTGCCGACCGCCCCACCCTCACTTGGAGACAGTGATGGAGCCTGTCAAGGGACCCATCACGCTTGGTGTTTGTCAGTTTCCCTGGCTAGTCATTGTCAGCTTTAACAAATTCTGTCCCCTGGAGTGCCTATTTTCTTAGTGTGACACCTGGCTAATATTACAGTGAAGCTAAAGTAAGCAGAGGTCTTTTCTGAAATGGAGATCAAAGGAATTTTGAATATCTGGACTGAGACATTACATAAGTAAACCTTTTGTCAATGCCTTAGACTCTGGTGAGAGTACTTTCACGCTACCGAAGACATCTCAGGGAGCTTGGTTTGGGGCTTTTGAAAATCTCGCAGTTGTTCCTCCCACTTAATATTCTATTACTGGAAAAAAAAAATTTCTGCTTGAGTAAAATTCTAGCCAGCATGATCACATGGGAGGCAGCCGTAGGGTGGGAAAAAAGTTCAGATGAGGAAATTTTAGAGTCAGAGGAATTTGTATTTGTCAGGGACCTATTCTAAATCAAAGAGGTGGCATAAAAAAGAATTTTGATGATTTGTGATGTATATTCAGGTAAGAGTAAAAGGGAATTTTATTTGTATTGATTTGTATTATTGGGATGAGCACTTAATATTTTTTTTTCTTTCCTGTTTCTCTCTCTTAATACAATGGGACTTCATTCAGCATAATCTAGTGGTGTCTTTAGAGTGTTTCATAGTTGGAAGGATCAGTAGGAAGGGGTACCCATCCCAGCTTACCTGAAAGGTTGATTTGGGGCTGGCTGCATTTCCCATCTGGCTGGCATTGCCAACAGGAGAACCTTAGCTTCAGCTTCTGCATCTCCTGTGGAGGAAGCTACCACTATTGGCTGACTCCTTCCTTTAACATTTTTTACTTTGGCTAAACTGCATTCTGCCTCTTTGTAGATTTATACCAGTTTATTTAGGGGAGCCTTTTGGAAATTGTTTTCCTCTTAAAAACTGTAACAAGTAAGTGGTGTCAGAAACCCAGACTTGTCAGCTATCCTGGTAGAGTTTGAGCCTGAATGGGGAACCTGACCCAGTGGAAAAGCACTCTTTGGCAGCAAGGGCTACTTAGATGATAAAAATGAATATAATTTGGGCTTCTGGTATGTGGAATCTTTAATCAGTGAATGTTTGCTCTCAAAAGGTTTTCAAATAATTATTTTTTGAAGTATAAATACTTAGTGTACTATTCTAAAAAGTATAAACAGAGGTGACTGTTTTTCTTTTAGGGCTACTTTTCATAAAGTAAATCTGTGTTTATAATACTCTTGAACACATCCGTTGTTTCTTATTTTCAATGTGTCGTATCCATTCCATACATATACCAGACACATTATATAATGTCTATAATGTTTAAATGGTGATTTGTATTTCATGCTCCTAGGAGTTAACGTTTCTTAGGAAAGAGAAAATAAAATACATGCTTTGTACACATACTGAATGCTGATGTCATAGGCTCTTCATTTAGTGTCCTTTGTAGTCTTTTAGACATAGAGCAAACCTTTAAGAAAGATCTTATTTCAAGTATACAGATAGGGAAACAAGGCCACATGAGACTACATAAATTGGCTAGAAAGTGGTAGAGTCAGCATTCAAACCAAGGTCTTGCCATCTCTAAATCCTGTGCCTTTTCATGTATTATGTGGCCTGGAGGTTGTTTGTGTTCAGACTGCTGGCTGAGATCCTAAAGTTAGATCTTAAACATGTGAATAGTGTCACAAACTATAAGAAATATTTCCATTACCCAGGTTGATGTTCTTGACAAACCCATCTTACAGCTGAGGTGATTTATTTTTGAACACCTCCCTCTTCTTTAACCAAGTCCAAAACTGACAAACCCCACTGAATCTACATACTAATTTCTTTACCTTTCTGGCCCCTGTATTATTGGTTTAGTTTAATCTAAACCAGTATTGTGTGTGGATTAGAGCAATGATGACCCATTTGATCTCTCTGCATGGCTTCTCAGGCTGCAGTGGGGTATTCTGTCTTTCAGTGGCTTTCTGTACCCTTCTTAGCATGGACCTAAAAAGCCCCTAGTAACCTACTACCCTCGCTGACTTCACTTCCCACTCCTCCCCTACATGCGTCCTATAAACCTGTCACACTTTACTACAGCTTTGCCTTTCTATGAGCCTGCATTTTTTTTGCTCTTTCTTGCCTTCTTCATTGGTCCATGCTATTCCCGCCCTCAACCTGCTCCACTCAGCTGATTTTTCCTCATTACAAAGTCTTTTCTAAACCTCTGTCCCCCAGGATGGATGGATTTGGCACATTCCTCTGGGCTCGCTTAGTTCCCGTGCATGGATCTGTCATGAAATGTATCACACTATTTGTTCTCATGTGTATCCCCTTGGCTTACTTATGTATCCCTTCCTTAGCAAAACGCCTCACATCTGGTAGGTGACTAAAATATTCCCTCAAAGACATTCAGTCAGTGAATAACTGGCTATAGGTCCTGGCTGTAGGTCTGCAACACCGACTGTGTATCATGTTGTTCGTTGTCCTCTGTGTCTTTCCGCATTGTGAGCTGTTTGCAGGGCTTCTTTGGTTGTGTCGGTGTGATCAGGGCATAGCATTTATGGCCTCATGAGTGGGCTAAAAGCTATGCCAGTGGAAAGAATAGAAGCAATGCTGTCACTACCTGATACTCTATCACCTTGTTATCTCTAGTCTCCCACTATTACCATTTATTTATCTTACTGATTTCAAGGGCAAATTCATGATATGTTGGCTCTTTAGCAAAGCCATGCCAATTAGCACTGACCCTGGGGGAACATAAATGAGCCTAGAAAAGTGCTAAAATCATGCCGTGTCCCATTATAAGAAATGACGAACGTTAAAGCATTTCCAAGTTTATTGATATTAGCCAGGCTTGAGTAAGGCTCAGACAGGACTCTCCTGTGTTTCCTACAGGTAACATGGCACAGTGAGAAGGCTTTGGGACAGAAACAGTTCCAAGTTTGACATAACTACTCAGTTCTATAATTCTTGATTTGTTACTGAACTTGCTGAGCTTCAGTACTCTCATCAGAAGTTGGGAAACAAATCTGATGTGTAATTCCTCACAGCCAAGTTTTAGGAAAATCAATAATCCATGAACAGATTTGAGGTCATAATGATGCTCGGTAAATGGTCATTATGACTTTATATATCCTGAGAATATTAAAACCTGGAAGGGTTTCATCATAAAGTTTTATCTGATAAGAAGACTATCTGGGCTTCCCCGTGACCACTTCTGTTAAAATTCTAGGCTCTACATTTATTATTTCTAATCCGTGTTAAAATGGGAGTGGTGCAAAGGACAACCCAATAATTTCTATTATGTCTTTCATTATTCGATGAGAACTCCTGGTTTGTGGCAGTGCTTCCTGATCGCCTAGTTCTGATAACACCTGAATTATTTTCACAGAAGAACGGCAATACCGCTGTGAAGACTGTGACCAGCTCTTTGAGTCCAAGGCTGAGCTAGCAGATCACCAGAAGTTCCCATGCAGCACTCCCCATTCGGCTTTCTCAATGGTGGAAGAGGACTTCCAACAAAAGCTTGAGAGTGAAAATGATCTCCGAGAGATACATGCGATTCAGGAGTGTAAGGAATGTGACCAAGTGTTTCCCGACTTGCAAAGGTTAGACATGGCATGCTCCACTACCAGAACGTGTTTGTTTAATCTGAAGTAAAACGTTGTTTGTGCTGAATTTTCAGAATTGGTGCAGATGGGAAATTTGGAACAACAGTGAGCTGGAAAAATGTATTAGTCACAGGTTTGGAAATCATTTTCCCCTGTAAATTCTCACCTGTAAAATGTTTGCAGTGAAGTTGGAATTAGTTATTTTGATGCCAGAGAGAAAATAATATGCTTATTATTATTATTTATGGAATGTAATTGGCAGCTGAAAGTTTAACATTAGAGTAAAATGTAACTTATTGGATGAGTCAAGGGTAGAGGAGGCAACAGTGATGCTGATTAATCTAATTATATATACTGAACAGTAAAGCTACTTTCTAGAAACATTTAAATGATAAAAAAAGAAACTTCTGATACTTAAAGAAAGGTAGATGGTCTTTTGATAGATCACTGTAATCTGTGGATTTAATTTCAACTATTTATCTAAATTGCACATATAAAAGAATAACAGAAATATGCCCAGTGAAGAAAATGTTGAATTGTCTTAAAGAAAAAAAAATAAACTAGATCTAAATGAAATAATTCTTTGATACATATTTTTAACAAAACAGAAATCACATTTCAGTGACATATTAACTTTTTATAGCCCTTTGAATTTAATTCAGGAACAATTGTTTTTTTCCTATTAAAGAAAACAACAGCCCTTGTTGTTGTTTAGTCACTAAGTCATGTCCAATTCTTTATGACCCCATGGACTGAAGCCTGCCAGACTTCTCTGGCTATAAGGACTTCCCAGGCAAGAATACTGGAGTGGGTTGCCATTTCCTTCTTCTTCTCAGGGGATCTCCCCAACCCAAGGACTGAACCCAGATCTCCTGCATTGCAGGCAGATTCTTTACTAACTGAACCACCAGGGAAGCCCATATTTTGCAAACCGTATTGATAATTACACTGCAGCATGATCTTTCAGATCAGAGAGGTGTTTAGTGTTAGTCGCTCAGCTGTGTCTGACCCTCTGTGGCTCCATGGACTGTAGTCCACCAGACTCTTCTGTCCACGTCCAAGAATACTAGAGTGGGTTGCCATGCCCTTCTCCAGGGGATCTTCCCAACCCAGGGATCAAACCCAGGTTTCTCGCATTTTGGACCGATTCTTTACCATTTGAGCTACCGGGAAGTATATTTAACCAGTGGGTAAGTTGTATGTTTGTTCCTACCTAGTGGTTTTTGCCTTGGTCCACAAGCAATTTTAATAATTGTATTCATTACTTTGCTCTTAAATCTGGGACCTGTAACCAGGATTTCAAATGAACATGACATTGTAGTATTTAAGTGGGTATAGGAATACATCAACTAGCTTTGCTCAGGGGTGTGAATTACTCACAGTTTGTTTTGGACATTCCACCTCTTTCACTGTGTTTTGTTTCCTTTCTTTCCTTAGTGCCCCCCTTCCTCCTTCTCCTTTCACCTCTGTTGATTGCCCTGCATCTCTCTTCTTATAGGAAAGGATTTCATATGGTAGTCATTCATTTTAATTCATTGATGACCAAAAAGGCATCAAGTGTAAACCTATTCCTTGAGGAGACTGAGTCAAAAGAATGAATCTCTAGCTTTGAAAATTCAGGCTTAATCTAGCTGTTAGAGGGAAAACATTCAGGTGACTAAGAGGGCTTTCCCAATACCCTTTAAACTCATCTTCAGTACTTAATATAAACCCACATAGAGAATGAGTCTGTTATATATGTTTGGCAAATCATGGATTTGTAATTAAAAAAATCACAGCATATCTCCTAAATATATTGTGTCCAAATTAAAAGCCAAAATGAAATCACTAAATGCCAACAGGTGAGAAAAGTATTTATATTGTAAAGCCATATCTCTGATGCCAGAGGGTAAGTATATTTCCTTCTATTTTGTTATCAAAAGTATTGGACAACATTATAAAACGAAAACTGACAGCCTCAACATTAAAATACTGTGTGTAGCAATACTTATTAGATGGAGAAACCTTCTTACTCTGACTGGGTGTAAGATTAAGCTTGAGTCAATGCTACTTTATGCCAAAACCAACTGTCAATTTAGTTCTTTCAGTCAAACATTCAGTCGCAAACAATAAGGAAACCTAATTATCTGGCATTGGGTGAACTCTCCAAACTCACTTCTCGGTAGCTCAGCCAGATGGATATATCATGTCGCTATGCAACCTGATACTGATCATCCAAGTGATAATTTGGGTTATATAATTTAGCCAGTGCAGAACCTACATGCCCTGAATATTTTCCACTTTACTGAATCTGATATTGTTGCTTTATATGTTAAGCAAATGAGAATTCCTTTCTTGACATGGTATATTATTCTGTTCTGTATCTTTTGTGTAAAATATTGAGAAAGGAATGTATGCTAAGTTGCTTCAGTCGTATCCAACCCTTTGCAGTGCTATGGACTGTAGCCCATCAGGCTCCTTTGTCCATGGCAAAAATACTGACAAGATTCTCAAGGCTAGAATACTGGATTGGGTTGCCATGCTCTCCTCCTGGGGAATCTTCCTAGCCCAGCATTCAAACCAACATGTCTTATGTCTCCTGCATTAGTAGGAGGTTTGTTTACCACTAATGTCACCTGGGCAGCCCACCCTCCAAAAAATGGGGGCAAAGATGGAAAGAACTCAGAAGGCTAAGCCAAGCTCTATAAATTGGGGTAAAATTCTTTGAAAAGTGAAGTTTCATTAATGACTGACTGGTTACTTTTATGTTTATGAAAGGAGTGAAAATCAGCTTTTGTAGGAACCACTTGCCTTTTTATTTTCTATCACTGAGTAGCTGATAGCTGATAATGATCAGGGAGCAATATGGATTTTATGCTGGATTAGAAGAAAGAAAGAGAAGAAAATTTGCCTTACTTTGCTATCATTTTCCCCTTTTGTGTTGTATACTATCTATGCTTCTTTTTTGTTTTTGCATTTTTATTGTATTTTGCTTTTATTTTTAATGTTTTTTTAACTGTGGGAAAGGGGCTTCCCAGGTGGTTCAGTGGTAAAGAATCTACTTGCCAATGCAGGAGATGCAGGAGACGTGTATTTGATCCCTGGGTCAGGAAGATCCTCTGGAGAAGGAAATGGCAACCCACTCCAGTATTATTGCCTTAAAAATCCCATAAACAAAGGAGCCTGGTGGGCTCAGCCCAGAGGGTTGCCAAGAGTCAGAATCAACTGAGCATGCACGCACTGTGGTAAAAGTCACATAATATAAAACATGCTTTTTTAACCATAGTTAACTGTACAGTTAAGTGGCACTAAATATATTTCTACTGTTGTGCAACTCTCACCATCATCCCATCTCTTGAATTTTTCACCTTCTTAAACTGAAATTCTGTCCCCATTAAACACTAATTTCCCATCCCTTCCTCCCACCCACCCCCCACCTGGTCCTTGGCCCCTACCAATGTACTTTTTGACTCTATGAATTTGACTGTTCTTGGTATTTCGCATAATTGATCTCGCATAATAACAAACAGTATTTGTCCGCACCTAATGTATATTGGAATACACTTTTAAGGTTAACTGAAGATATGTCCTCCAGAGTGTACCATGTACTATACCTTAAAACAATGTCATACTCTTGGAGTTAGGAGACAGGAAAAATCTCAGTGTATAGGACATTCTTTTACCACTAGGTTTCAGAGTTTATGACTTAAGAACATTGGAATACAATACATGTCATGAAATGACAGGCCCTGTTAGTTTGCTAAAGACGATAGTAAGAACAGCAATCAAACAATGATTTTGGAAGATGTCCCTGACTCAAGTCAATGTTAACTGCCATTGCTAATATCTTTCTGTTAACTCTCTGATTAACATTTCAGCTTGTGTAACAAACAGAGGATTACATATTGTAGATAAAGATAGGGCCATGCTTGTGACTCCACACACCTGTACTCTCTTGGTACTTTTTGTTTGCAGAGATAACGCTGCTGGTGCTCAGATAGGAGAGCATGACCACGTTGACTGACTCATAGGCAGGAAAAATAAGTTCATGTGCCAGTATGAATAGAATTGGAAGGAGGAAACTGAGAAAGAGAAAAATATGGAAAGGTGTTTCTAATTTGTCAAGATATGAGAAAGGGCATTTTATTTTTTTCACAAACACGGCCATGCGCACAGTGTATACACAACCACTGGGTAACATATTCTAGGCACACTTGATTCTCAAACTTAGAGTGCCCATCTCACAGAAAAATAAAACATGGGGAAGAAGCAGTGCTTGCATGCTTGATAAGTTTTTTTTAATGCTTTTTTATTATGGAAGTTTTCAAATACCCACAAAACTGGAGAGGATGGTAGTGTACTCAGGTTGTCACACAAGAACAGTCTTATCTCAGCTATACTCATTTTGGATTATTGAAACAAATCCTGGACATTATGTCATTTTATTTATAAATAGCTCAGTGTGTGTCTGTGGAAAATATGTAAAACATAAGTTCACTTTAAAAAGAATGGTTCCAAAAAAAAATAATAAAAAGAATGATTCCTTATTACTATCAAATATTCAGTGATCAAATTCCCCCAGTTATTTCATTATTTTTAGAGTTTGTTTTGCTTACATTAAGATCAAAATAAGATCCATCACTGCAATTGGTTTGTGTCCCTCTTATTTCTTAATTTAAAGGTTTCCCCAATCAAAGTCAGTAAGTCCCTCTTTCTCATTATAGTTTATATACAGAAGAAACTGAGTGTTTTTTCCTGTAGCATTTCCTCCTGGCTGTATTCTACTGGTTATATCCCCTTGGTATTTTTTGTCATCTTTATCCATCCTATTTCCTGTATACTCATAGTTACATCCCAAGCTGTGATCAGATTTAGGCTCAATGTTTTAGGAAGAATACCTCATTGGTACTATCATTTATTTCCATTAGGAGGCATATAATGGATTGCCTAGATTAATTAATTCTTCAAGTGCTGCAAAATGAGTGTGTTCTAATTCCCCTATTGTTTCAGTATTTACTATCTGGATTAATTCTATGCAGAAAAACTCCCCTTCCTTGATTATTTGCTCCCCCTGAAGTACAGTTCAGATAGGAAAGGCGAGATCCCTTTACTTACTAGTTTTCAGAGCAATGATTTGGCTTCTTAGCATCTTCCCGGGGTAACTGGTAAGGTTTCATTTTTGTGTTTTTGAGTATTATTATCATTAAAAGATGAGATCATTATTCTTAGTGATGCTTAAATTTCCCCATCTTTAGTCAGTGGGTGTCTCTTCAGGTTGGCAACCTAGTTTTTCTTTTTTTTTTTTTGCCATGATCTGTAACTTTCTTGATTTTTGCCATAACAAGATGTTGAAGCCCATCTTGTGTATTTCATGCATCAAGTTTGAAGAGGGCTATTTCTCTAAGGAGTTCTGGTTACCTTATTTGGGAGTAGTATCCTAATGTGTTATATGTGTGTATTTAATTAACAAAAATGTTGCCAGTATCTTCTGAATATCACAGTAACACATTATCTATAATATTGAATTTTCATTATATTCATGCAGATTTTGTATTCAAATTTTAGTGAGACAGGGAAACATTTGAGAACGTAAAATATTTTAAGTTTTAAAACAGAGAAGCTATACTTGTGAGAAAATTCTAACCCTGTTTTTCTTTGGAGGGACTTTACAAGTGCATCCACTTACAGTATGATATACTTTTCTTTCCTCCCTATTTCATAGGCTGTATTAACACCATAGATAGATAGATAGATAGATAGATAGATAGATAGATAGATAGATACCTTAGATTATAAGGTACATACACCTTAGGTTATAACACCTTAGGTTATGAGATATATACATATATATTCTCTCTAGGTAATGTTTCCATCAATGTCTATATCTGCTTCTATATTGTTGTTGTTCAATTGCCCAGTTGCGTCCCACTCTTTGCCACCCCATGAGCTACAGCATGCCAGGCCTCCCTGTCCTTCACCATCTCCCACAGTTTGCCCAAGTTCATGTCCATTGCGTCGAAGATGCCATCCAGCCATATCTATGCACTTGAATACTTATTCATCGGTCCGTAAGCGACCATCTATCATATTGGTTGTATTAAGAAGTGGCTTGTTGAATAGTTCACTCACAGTTCACTTTCCCATTGGTAATATAGGTAGGAATAAAAGTGCCTTTGTCAATGTAAGAGTTATATATGTTAGATAGAATAGCTTCCTGCATATTCTTAAGCAATCTCTTAACGTTTTCGGTTTGAGTGTTTGTGTTTGAATTAAGTGGGTAACAGCAGTCCGTGTTGCAGTTAGAATTGTGTAATGAATCCAGAACTGGGCAAACAGCTAGTTGTTTATCATGCCCCTAAATTGGCACCTAATCCCTGCTAGCTGAATCAGATTTATTTTCTAACAACAGGGGCACTTCTCTGTACTGCTGAGAGGCACAGTCCAGGGAATATAAGATGTACTTTTGTCTGTTGCAAGCCTGTTTCCTCCATTTCTTCCCTGCCTCAACTCCTTTCCCTCTTCTTTCTTTAATTGCCAGTTGGATTCGTAAGAAAATGACTTTCTGTTTATTAATGTGTTCTTAGTCACCATGTCCTATTAAATCCATTGTTCTCTTAACAGCTTGGAGAAACACATGTTGTCACATACTGAAGAGAGGGAATACAAGTGCGATCAGTGTCCCAAGGCATTTAACTGGAAGTCCAATTTAATTCGCCACCAGATGTCACATGACAATGGAAAGCACTATGAATGTGAGAACTGTGCCAAGGTACAGTGAATTTGTAGACTACTTGGCCTCTCTCTGTCATCCTGCTCTCTCTTAATCCATCATTTGCTGCGATATATAAAAACAAGCCGTGAGAAGGGAAACTATAAATATCTTGAGAAAAGTAGACGAGTGTTGTATGCTAGAAGGCATTAGTACAGTGTATAAAAACACTTAGTGGGTATCCTTTTATTTTTGTAAGGGAGGAAGTAAGGCTTAATGGTGAGTTCCAGAACTAGGTGTCAGACATCCTTGGTAAATTCCTGGTTCCGCTACTGGCTTTCCAGAGTGGGGTTGTTTTATAGCTTTATGGAGAATGAAAATTTTATCCAGTGCACATTACTGATTTCTTTTAATAGCAATTTTGTGCGGAAGTTACATACAGTTTCTGAATGCCTATGCAGAAAGAATGGGAGACTCCTACACTTGCAGATTTTTCCACCCAAGTCCCCACTATAAATTATGACTTGGTTCTAATTAAAAGTGGAGTGCCTTAGTGACCTGGGCTGAACAACATAAGAGCGAATTGAAAGCACTTCACCTTGACCGTTACTCTTAACTATGGGAACAGCAATTCACATCATTAAATTTTCATATTCCTCAATTAACTAAAAGATGTCCTGGTGTCATGAAAATTTATTTCTCTTTTCAAAAAATTTTCATGATTGAATATCTTTTCTCATGCAGAAATTGTAACATTTGACATTATCTTTAGACGTATTTTGCTTCCAGATGTGTGGGTAGCTTTTTGTTTTCCCTATTTCTTTTTTTTTTTTTGTTTTTTGTTTGTTAGTTTTTTAGTACAATGTCCAAAGGAACCATTTTAGTTTAATGGTTACTTAATAAAGCACAGTGTTAGAATTTAATTCCTAAGGGAACTCCTCGAGTAGATTTGGGACACTTTGGGCAAAAATCCATCCAATTTTGTACATCTTTAAAGGATGGAAATAGTACACCATTTTAAATAATATCATGGCTTGTATTTTATTATTCAATTCCATTCACTCTAAATAGGATCAAGAAGACCTTGAGTATGCTTTAGTAATGCCATTAATTATTTTGTTCAACTGATACCAATGGATACTTGTGCTGAGTCTACAGAGCTAAATAATTTACAGTCCTGACCCTCGAGAGGCTCACACTTTGGAACGATGACCTTCTTTTGGTCTTTGGGGAAAACAAACAAAAACTAAACAGACACACACAATCCCTTCTTGAGGCATTCCTGGTCTTCTTTCTTGTGTCCTAGAATTAAGTTTCTTGATTAATCAGTACTCATTTCCTAGCAGGTTTTCACGGACCCTAGCAACCTTCAGCGGCACATCCGCTCTCAGCACGTTGGTGCCCGGGCCCACGCGTGCCCCGAGTGTGGCAAAACGTTTGCCACTTCGTCGGGCCTCAAACAACACAAGCACATCCACAGCAGTGTGAAGCCCTTTATCTGTAAGTTTTCAACACTCCAGCCCCCTTTCCTGCATCTGTCTCTCATCCGAAAAGCTCTGTAACCAGGAGAGTGAGCCACGCGTGGCCCCAAATGAGGGGGCCTCTGCATTAGCAATTTACGGTCTCATCCGGTCAGGCTATTTTCTATGACAAGAAAATCTTTTATAACCAGATCTATGGTATTTTGCCTATGATCCCTGGGGTGTTTTCTTCTGGATGGGATCAGTAACAGGTAGAGAAAAGACACGTTGTTAAATAATGTGAAGGAAGCCCCCCAGGTTGTGAGATTTGTCGTGTTGGAAATGTGTGTGGTTTGTAAAAACAGCAAATAACAGGTACACTAGACAAAATGAAGTGAGAAAAACCTGTTCTGGGTCAGAAAGAGCTAGAAGAACCTCACCTGGCAAGTAGGTTTAGGACTGTGGGTGTGTGGTAGGGGAGGGGATGGGGGGAATAAAAGACCCTTTAATCTACCCTTTGTGGCTGGTCATAGGTTGCAGATCAGTAGGTCTCCGTTACTTGAAAAGCAGAACACTTTTACTTTGATGCCAGACACGCTGCGTCTCTAACCCCATGCACTCAAGCAAATTTACAGTGTATTTCCAGGGGATGTTCAATCTGACCGCCTACCTAAAGTATCCCTGTAACAAGGGCTTCAGGACAGGTCCACCTCAGCCCTCTTTTGCTTCTTCTCTTGTCCACCCACCCCTGTTTTCTGTATTGTGCTGAAATGTTTCATATGGAAAATCAGTTGTTCTCAGTCCATCTGGGCAAGAACTCTGGGCTTCTCCATGGCTCAGCGGGGCATATAAACACAGTGACTCACTGGGCTGTGTCACAAACTTCGAGACAGATTTTGGATCCAGATAAGCACAGAATTGGATGAAGCATACTCAGGAGTTGGCAAATCCTCTGACTTGGGAATCCTTGCAAAACAGTTTTTCTGACAGCTACTTTTTTTTCCTGACAGCTACTTGATGGTTTGTAGTAGGTATATGAGACACTACTGCAGCACCTGATGGAAGAAAACCTAGTTTTCAGTGCCAACATGGAGATGCCAGAGACTAACACGCCTCCTTTTTACCTTTGCATAGCTCTCTTTTATGTTTCCAAGCCCCACGAGAGCTTTTCTTTCCCTTTCCAGCTTACCCTAGCATCCCGTTTTGCTCATATGTTCTTCTGTTCCCTGGGTGGATTGAAAAGGACTAGCAGAGAAACAAAAGGGTGCTCTATTCCCTCTTGAGGAAGCTCTGTTGAAAGTCATGGGAAATAAAATATACAATGGAAATTTTAGACTTCTTGTCTCAAAAAGACATTCCTGACTCTAGGTCGTAATGCCCTAAAAATGTACTTACAAGTACTGCAGGCATACATAATTCATTTATTTCTGATTTTTCAGAAATACATTTTGAGACATTTATGTTTTGGTGGGAAATAGAGAAGAATTGATCATATGAATTATCATCACCCATTTAATGCTTTCACTACTATTTAAAAGTCAGAAAATGGAAATTCCTATCATCTAAGATTCTGGGATCTGGAATTTTAATTGTGTTGAAGTCCAGTGTTTCACTTTAAAACACGATAGGGTATCCTTTCCCAATCAGATTGTGCAGACCTATTTCCCATGACTGTATTTTCAGTAATTATTGGTAAATTTAAATAGCAGATGGCATTCTTCAAATATAAAATCTGACAGAGGACCATGGGGTAATTATGAATAATAGCCGTGTAATTTCAGAACAAAAGAGGAGTTGGTGTGGAGACTTTGGAGTGGAGGAGGTTCACCTAGAGTTGATATCTGTTTCTCACCAGAAGGCCACACACCATGCTTTACCCCCACTGGTGTGTTTATGGCAACTGTCTCTTATTACAGTGCGCCGCCAAGCTTGAGCCCAGAGTCACCAGCGCTAAGATAATTACTCACTGCCTTTACAGAAACCTCCAGCCTTCCCAAATAGAAACCACATGCTCTAATAGGCTGAATATATTCAAAATACCTCTTAATTGGTTTAATAAGTAGAAAAATGCAATGTTAACTGCTGACTAATTCCTTATTATTGAGAAAATTACAGTACAGCCTAGACTTCAGCATCAGTTGAGCCCCTTACCTGAAGGCTTGGTGGTTTGTGGTGGGCCACGCTGGGCCTTCAAGTGAGAAAAAACAAAGCCTCTGCCGATGGAGACAGCCCACATTCTAAGTTTTGGAGACCTGGTACAAACACTGTTTGGCAGTGTGAGAGAGCCTCCAACCAGGAAAGTCAGATGCACCTTTTGTTACTCCCGTATAGAGGAACTCCTGATTTTCTGAAACCTCTCCCGCTGTTAGAAAGAAGTGTAGAGAGCAATATTTCTTTGCCAAAATATTACACACCTTTCAAAACCTTACACCTTGTTTGAACACCCATCGGGCTCTTTTCTCAATGACTTTTAATGGCCCAGAGGAGGGTGTCACTTTCGTAATGAGTTCACGTTTAGAATTCCATCAACATTTTATTTACTATTTCTTGTTATTTCTCATAGCTGAATTAGTATAACTAGTGAAAGTCTCATGTTTCTACCCTCTAGTTCATATGGTTTTAATTATTATATCCAAGAATTTCAATAGTATGTGTATTTATTATATATGGTTAACTAGTATATCTTTTTAAAGCAGACTCTGTTGAATATTCCAATAGAATGACTTGAAAAGAAATAACTCAACGTTTTCTCTTCCCGTTAAAATGCATGTTTTAGACTCTACAGTGTCATGAATCATCCCACAGCTGAAAGCTCCTGTAATGTTACTAAGCACAATTGATATGTGTAGCAGTGCATTTTAATTGTTAGTAGTAAAAGAAATAGATATGGAATCACTTGGTACTTCCTGTTTGGTGGTGTGGGGGATAATCGAAGTTCCGGATGAATTTTGCATGACTGAAGGTTCATAAAATCTTCTTTGAATATTTTTTTTTTTTAGTTGTTATTGTTTTGACTTAGGAGTTTAAAGGCAGTCATCACATGGAAGAAAGAAATGTTGCGTTTTATCTTCAATTTGATTTCTTGTATTTGTTTCAACAATTATTAACAAGGCATATCATGTTTCTGCATGGATTAACGTGCACAGAAGCATGAAAGTAAGCTCACACGTAAAGAGGACTCATCTTTAGTAAAGTAACGTAAAAATGTGATGCTTGGGAAATGGATACTATAATCTTGCCAGACGTGGGTGAGTGGGATTCCTACATAGCAAAAGGAGCTGTTAAGAGTCCTATTGGTCTTAAAATATACTTAGATCTGTTCAGACATATATGAGGAAGAAGATGTTCTACTGTTTTGGCAAATTCTGGGGAAGAGGGTTATTTCCAGCCGCACCCACTACTGTACCCTGACTGGATTCGAGCATTCCATGCACTCTCCCCTGTTTGCTGTAGCTGGCAGTACCGCATACAAGTCAAGCCCCAAGATAACCCGAGAAGATATGACAACAAGTGGACATGTTTCCCAAGGACGGGGTTTCATAAATGCAGGAAGGTTAGCACAACCACTGGTGTGAGGGGAAGTCGGAGGACGTGCTCATAGTTCATGGGAACCAGCAATGCAGGATGGGCTACATTCAATTTAGTTTCCTTTGCAGGCTTAAAATAGCGCCATTGTAAATTATGTCAGTCTTTCTCAAATCATGAAAATGATTGTTAAAAATGCCTCAGAATACACAATGTGCATTGTTGTGTGGCTTTGATGTGTGAATGATGAGAGCATATGATATAATACAAATTAAATAATGGTAGAGCAGTCACAGGCTTTTTCCCTGAGGGAAGAGGGAATAAAGGTGAAGTTTCTGGGGGAGGGGCAGGCTGTTTCTTTTGTGTTGGTGCTTACAATATAGAAATCTATAAATGGTCTAAAATTTTAAAGGGATTCCTGTTCTGTTTCATGTTTAGCAGATCTTAAGAATTTATGTTGTTAAGATTCTGCTGGTGTCGTCATTGGGTTGGGAAATTAGTGCATGCTGGAATTTGACTTTTTAATAAATATTTGAATATACAAATATGATGCAAAATATGATGTAGTGGGGGTGACAAATATTTATATATATTTATGTGAAATATTTGTGCTGTCTCAAGACATTTGTCAGGTTGGATGCCTTGCTTTGGAATCTAGTGAAATGGGGTTTTCTGTGTTTGGAGCACCACTTTGGTGCCTCCAACGTCTTTTCCTGGCTTCCTAATTGAAATTTGGGGTAAACCACTTGTGATACTTGCTAAATTCAGAAGCAATTGCCATAAAGCCTGAGATTCTTTTTTGTTGTTTGCACACAGGTGAGGTCTGCCATAAATCCTATACTCAGTTTTCAAACCTTTGTCGTCATAAGCGCATGCATGCTGATTGCAGAACCCAAATCAAGTGCAAAGACTGTGGACAAATGTTCAGCACTACGTCTTCCTTAAATAAACACAGGAGGTTTTGTGAGGGCAAGAACCATTTTGCGGCAGGTGGATTTTTTGGCCAAGGCATTTCACTTCCTGGAACCCCAGCTATGGATAAAACGTCCATGGTTAATATGAGTCATGCCAACCCGGGCCTTGCTGACTATTTTGGCGCCAATAGGCATCCTGCTGGTCTTACCTTTCCAACAGCTCCTGGATTTTCTTTTAGCTTCCCTGGTCTATTTCCTTCCGGCTTGTACCACAGGCCTCCTTTGATACCTGCTAGCTCTCCTGTTAAAGGACTGCCAAGTACTGAACAGACAAACAAAAGTCAAAGTCCCCTCATGACACATCCTCAGATACTGCCAGCTACACAGGATATTTTGAAGGCACTATCTAAACACCCACCTGTAGGGGACAATAAGCCAGTGGAGCTCCAGCCCGAGAGGTCCTCTGAAGAGAGGCCCCTTGAGAAAATCAGTGACCAGTCAGAGAGTAGTGACCTTGATGATGTCAGTACACCAAGTGGCAGTGACCTGGAAACAACCTCGGGCTCTGATCTGGAAAGTGACATTGAAAGTGATAAAGAGAAATTTAAAGAAAATGGTAAAATGTTCAAAGACAAAGTAAGCCCTCTTCAGAATCTGGCTTCAATACATAATAAGAAAGAATACAGCAATCATTCCATTTTCTCACCATCTTTAGAGGAGCAGACTGCGGTGTCAGGAGCTGTGAATGATTCTATAAAGGCTATTGCTTCTATTGCTGAAAAATACTTTGGTTCAACAGGACTGGTGGGGCTGCAAGACAAAAAAGTTGGAGCTTTACCTTACCCTTCCATGTTTCCCCTCCCATTTTTTCCAGCATTCTCTCAATCAATGTACCCATTTCCTGATAGAGACTTGAGATCGTTACCTTTGAAAATGGAGCCCCAATCACCAAGTGAAGTAAAGAAACTGCAGAAGGGAAGCTCTGAGTCTCCCTTTGATCTCACCACTAAACGCAAGGACGAGAAGCCCTTAACCCCAGTACCTGCCAAGCCTCCAGCGACCCCGGCTGCAAGCCAAGACCAGCCCCTGGATCTAAGTATGGGCAGCAGGAGTAGAGCCAGTGGGACCAAGCTGACTGAGCCTCGTAAAAACCACGTGTTTGGGGAGAAGAAAGGAGGCAACATTGAACCAAGACCAGCATCCGATGGTTCCTTACAGCATGCTAGACCCACTCCTTTCTTTATGGACCCTATTTACAGGTAAGGGAGGCTAGGAGGCCGCTAAGTGTGGACGGACAAACAAAAGGTAGTTTTTAGACACTAAAGTTATGACTTTCAACAAACCATTTTTTATTATTGTTATAAAACAGAGTAAAGTTGTTTGATCTGGTGAATTCATTTTTTATTCAGAAAGTCAACTCATTAGCTTTGGACTTATTTTTGGATGTCTCCGAATTTGGGGTTTTGGAATAGACCCATGGAGTTCTTTCCCTTGACAATAAATTTATTTTTAAACACATTTTTTTTTTAAGTGGAAAATATGGGAAAGCCATATTTAAAGCAAGTTGTCAAGTGGCGGAAGAATGAGGCTCCTGAAGTATTAATGCAAATATGTGTGGGTACTTAAATGGGTCAGGTTATTTGGAAGGAAATGGGGCAGAGCTAGAGTTTATTCTTTATTAACCCACCAACACAACCCTTAATAAGTGCTGGTCCTATTCTGTTTCTGAGTAAATCTTTTAGAAACCCCATGTAAATGAAATATTGATCACAAAAACGCTTTGTAAATGATGTGAATGATCAGCTTAAAAACACATCTGTGTTTAATGCCTGCATTATTCAATTTCCTTTGCATCCAAAATTTTTTAGGGTGGGGAAATATATGCTTAATAAAAACCCTCTTAGGTCCAGTTCTCAGTTAACACTGGACCATTCAGGATGATTCAGTTTTTAAATACTAGTTTTTTTCAAAGTGTACAAACAACAATAACAGTGCTTGCGATGTGTTTTAAATATTACTGAGCATTTTCACGTTTACTTTCTCATTCAAATCATGAACATCGTTAAGAGTTAGTGGAAAATGTAGGCAATTTTTTATTGAACTTATTTAAGCTGGCAGTATTTGATATTTTTGCCTAATTTTTTTTTAAATCAGGAGACAGTTTTGTTCAATTTCTTCATTCACAATATTTTTTTGAGCACCTATAACTTGGTAGGTACCAGAGCTGCAAACTCTTTTCACTTCAAACTCATTTTCTACCTTTATTATCTGTGTTAACCAAGAAACATTACCAGTTCATTACGGACTACCCCTACTTGAACATGACAAGAGGCATAGAAAAGGACAAAACAAAAATGTCTCAAAGCCATCATTACCTTGCTTGGGCACTCCCCACCCAATGATTGTATTTTCCTTTATGTGGCAGTTCTTTTACAGAGAAAGAAAAAGAGGTGGGGGGTGTGTGGAAACCCAGATCTTCCATATTTTATGTGTAGCTTGTATATTACACATGGTCAATAAGGTTGTATTTCCAACTCGGTGATATGTCTCAGCCCTTTGTGAAGATAATTTCTCAAGCTTGCTTTCTTAGACCCTCCCAATGACAGTGAACTTCCAGTTCATCTACATACCCCTCCCACTCTTCTCCATCATCTCCCAGCCTTCCACCTGCTTATTCTAATCTCAGTCTTCTTTCTGATACATCAGTTTCAATTGAAGCTTTAGGCATCTCATTTCACCAAACTCATAAAAGACCTAAACCCAGTTTTAGTGTAAGACCTGGGTTGAAATCTCAGCTTTCTCATGTCTTAAAGTCTTCTTCATCCATAAAATGGGCATAAGGGCACTGATTTCAATAAGTGAAAGAGTATATGTAAAACATAACATATATGCAATTTCAAGAAGTCGAAGCTGCTTCTAGGCTTCCCAGGTGGCACTAGTGGTAAAGAACCTGCCTGCCAATGCAGGAGGTGCAGGTGACCCAGGTTTCATCCCGGAGTCAGGAGGATCCCCTGAAGGAGGGCACAGCAACCTACTCCATTACTCTTGCCCGGAGAATCCCAGGGACAGAGGAGCCCGACGGGCCACAGTCCATAGGGTTGCAAAGAGTTGGACACAACTGAAGCAGCTTAGCACAGAAGCTGCTTCTATTCATTCTGAAACTATTTTAAAAGTATACTTATTGAATGTTTTTTAAAACGAAATCACCAACAGTTGGTGAAAGAAATTAATTCAGTCCACAATGTCATTTCTTATATGCTTGATAGAAAATGGAATGATAAACCGTTCTAAAGCAGAAGAACTGTATAGATAAGTTTGATAAAGTCTTTCCTTATCTTCAAAAAGTTCCTTATCCTCTTCCTACCACCACACTTTCACCTACCCTGTTTATTAGCAGCATTGGCTAGCAGGGTGTGTAGTAGGCTTAGAAAGTCTCCTGTTGGCATTCATAAACGTAAAAGAAATAGAATGATGATTTGTGGGAGCGCCTTATTGATAGAAAACAACTTTAATTTTCAAAGTGAACCTTCTTCACTGGCTTTTGAAATCAGCCAGCATTTTTGTCTATATTTGCAGTGGAAAGGTACAAACTTGTGAGTGGTGCCTCCAATTTTATGACTTCGTTTTTAACATTTCCTTCTCATTATTATTAGTATTACTACTCATTCAATAGGATTTTTCCATTTTAAAAAGGACTTTCTTTCTTTGAGCACCCAGAAGTGCCACGAGTATTCTTCAAGAACTGAAACAGATGTCTTTATATTTTTATTAGTGTGCTTCCCAGCAACCTACCATTTGCTTTATTGTTAGCTGTTTTAAATGTCAGCGATTATGCAGGGATTGATCTGTGAGACTGATTCTTCTCCAAAATCTAATTTTAACCTTTCAGAGTAGAGAAAAGAAAACTAACTGACCCACTTGAAGCTTTAAAAGAGAAATACTTGAGGCCTTCTCCAGGATTCTTATTTCACCCACAAGTAAGTATTTTGAATTTGAGACTTCAAGCTTGTAAACTAACTTGTTGATCCTGAAAAGCAGGTGCAATGAAATGAAAGAAATCTTGAGAACATTAGGATTTCCTATGACGCTGGTGTGGAAGAACACAGGAAATTCTAGCAGAATTAAAATCCAAACTTTTTAAAGAAAAGGTAGTCGATATATATATGTAAAAATAACATGGGTTCAGTGTTAAGTTATTCTCTATTAAGTACTTACTGAGCTAAAGTGTATTTTGGAGTGAGCAAAATTCAGTTAAGAAATTAAGTATTGAAGATGTCTTTCGTGTTTAAAAAATTTGCGATCATAAGAAATGGATCACTGTGCTATTTGTCCCAAACTCATGAAGGTCATTCGTGTTCTTTTAGTGCTTAGATAAAAACAGGAAATGAGTCTACCTGACAAGTTGTTACCATAGAGGGTGAAGGAATTTATCTAGAGACCCCTGGGCATTCCAGCAAAGTTCTGTAATTGCACAAGAATTCACCACAATACACAGAGCTATTTGCTGGATGGAGTTGTGTCCATTTATCAAAATACGTATAATTTCTCACTGCAAAGAAAGTACAGAGCAGTGCTATCTAATTGGTTCATCTTTATGTCCCCCTGTTTTTGGTCATTAAAAAAAAACTAGTTTACATATCAATTAAAGTGTGGAGAATTATATTGAAAGAAGGAATATATAAACATCTCGAATCTGGTTTCTTAATAATTTTTTAAAATTTACTCATTATTAAGGATACAAGCTCCTTATAGATAGTAAGCAAAACTTTTATGAAAATGCTTGACAACAGAGGTAACTGATTTGTTCTGTTCCAGTATATTCAAACCAAAACTTATGCTTCTCTAATAAAATTGGTGGAAAATTCTATGCAACTTATCTTACAGAAAGCTATGAAACAATTAAATTTAATCATCTTGGGATATGACTCTTTCCACCACCCCTCACCCTCACCCTCTCTGCTCCTGCTCTTTCTTCATTTTTAAAAGTACTTTCCCAAATTCTTGACAATAAAGTAGGAGAGCTGAAATACCATATTCTGGGTTGAGTGGCGAGATCTGTCCTTGCTCAAAAATTCTCTCTGTTTTAACCTGAAACAATATATGATTTAGTATGAAAAGGGTTAGAAATATTCCAGTTAGTATTCATTTTGTGTAGAAAACTAAGGAATTTCTTAAATTAGTTTATGGAAAAGCAAGTTCTAAAACAGTATATGTTTATCAGGTACTTATTTTCCACATTTAGATTGATCTGAATTGCACTTGTTGGTCTCGTGGGCTAATAAACCTGAGCATAAAATGCATTTTTGTGTCAGATATTATACAAAAAGTGTATCTCTCTTGATAACTTTCTAATTAAATGCTCATAAAGATATTATAGTTATCCTTATATCTGTAATTAAATTACAGTTTTAATTATAATAAATCAATCTATTTTATATTCTAATTATTTTTAAAATCTAGTAACTAATCATTTCAGAATCAAGTGCTCTGGGTATGTAGTTTAAGGGAGGAAAAAAAAAATGCCAGGATTCAGTGTCTTTGAGTGACTCAGTCTACCTGGCTTTTAGTTTCTTTACTTATTAGATGAAGGAGTGGGTGTAAGGTCCCTATCTTCTCTGAAATTCAAAGATTTCTAGCTAGCTAAGGCAAATATACTGGTTCAGAAAATGGGGAGTTTTGTCTACTAACATCTTTACATGTGCATGCAACTGTTGTAGATGTAGTATATGCATATTTTTAATCAAATGATATAAGAAAATCTGCTATGTTTTAATATTCACAAAATTAATGAAGGATAGCAAAAGATGAGGCATGTGTATGGAGCTTGGGAGTATAGCAATCACCCTCTCAGATCGCTGAAAATATACCTATGGGAGCACAGTGGCAGAGGGTGTCCTTCCCACACCAGAATGTCACATCTTGTTATACAGGACTAACTATTGCTGCATGTTGCTGGAAGAACAGTACCCAGTAGTGATCAGTAAAATATTTAACACATCATATGTCATGAATACTGATCAATCTGAATGGGCTCCTGCCACTGGGGAGCTGGGTCCTAGAAGCCCTTGCTGGCCAACTGTTCATGCTTTGGTGGCTGGCTGGTGGGCTGTCTGAAGGGTCTTTTGGGAGGAGGCCGGGGCAGCAGGAGGACATTCAGGGTAGTTGGGGCAAAGGCTATTTATGAATGATGATAGAAATATTTCGTTATTTTGATAACTAACCGCTGTGGCTGTTTTTGTGTGTAATGGCTGTATGTCACGGCGATACAGAGGGCATAAAGAATGGCACCTGAGAGATGTGCAGGGCCCTGAATTTTCGTCAAGCCTCCAGAGCAGTCTGTCCTTTCAGACTTTAGGCTTCCCTGGTGCTGAGCAGATCCACCTGCAGTGCAGGAGACAGAGGAGACTCAGGTTCGATCCCTGGGTCGGGAAGATCCCCTGGAGTAGGAAATTGAAACCCACTCCAGTATTCTTGCCTGGAAAATCCCATGGACAGAGCAGCCTGGGGGGCTCCGGTCCCTGGAGCTGCAGAGTCAGACGTGACTGAGCACACACACGAGGACTGTTCTTTCAGAAACTCTGCCTCATATGTTCTGAAGTTTCAGCAGAACCTTTTTTTGTTCTTTCTAGTACTTTATCAATTCCATCACAGCCTCAAGATCCACCTTCCCACAAACAAACAAACAAACAAATGAAAACAAAGAGAAACTGCCTAGGATTTGGGGCCAGAAATAACTGATTTAGAACAGGCTTTACTACTTATTAGCAGAAATGCTTCAAGTTTGAGCCATGCAGTTCATCTCTCTGAGCCTTCTGTATCAGTGTAATGCGTGTACCCCTTCCAGCCTTACTAGGGGCAGCTGAAAGGATCAGTGCTCACATACATGACATGTTTAGCACTGTGCTTGGCATGTGGAAGGATCTAGAGGTGGAAAAGCTCTCTTTATCATTGGATGCAGAAGTATTCTGTTTTGACTATGAAGGAATACCAGTAAAATACTCTCCTGCCATCCCCTGAACCCAGTTTCTTTGGTAGAGATACATCAAGTATCTAGAAATACCTGGAAGGATGTTTGCTGTGTTTTTGGTGCTGTCTTGGACACCAAAGCATGCCACCAAAATGAAAGGACTTGCCTCCTCTGCACCCAGGGCTTGCCATCGTTTTGTAGGTAGATAAGTGCTCGGTTAAGACCATTCACAACTTCATTTTTCATTTAAAGTATTTTGGAGCAAATCACATGGTCCCTCTGGGGCTTCTATATCCTCGTTTTCAGAATAAGAATACTGCTATTTATCTCAGGGTTATCTACCTCTGTCTATTTCTTAGGGTTGTTATCATAATTAAAAGGAGACCACATGTTTTCCATGCTTTAGGGAAAACCTATAAATAGATAGATATGTAAATGCTTTGTAGTGGTATTCTCTGATTATAAAAATTTTACAATTTCTGTATGTCTTTGTATTCTGTCCCACCTTCCCTCCCGGCCTCCGCCTGCCTCCCCTGTACATAGTTACTAATCAATGAAAGTTGGCACTTCACTCAGATGGTAAAGAATCTGCCTCCAATGCAGAAGACCAGCGTTTGATCCCTGGGTTGGAAGATCCCCAGGAGAAGGAAATGGCAACCCACTTCAGTATTCTTGCCTGGAAAATCCTAAGCACAGAGGAGCCTGGCAGGCTACAGTCCATGGGGTCGCAGAGAGTCAGACAAGACTGAGCAACTAACATTTTGATTTTCACTTATCCAAATAAATTGGATATTTATTAAATTTTATTGGAAATAAATTATTAGGCTATTTTACTGCCTTTTAGAAGAAAATATGTATTTTTAAAATCCTTGACAAAAATACAGAAAACATACAGGAACATATACATCAGAATCAAAAGATAAATACTGGCTTTATCATTCTCAGGGTCTAAATTCCTCTCAGTTCAATTCTTAGAGAAGTACGTTTGCTCTGTCAGGCCACTAGAGCACTATTTCACTCTCTGTTTTTCTCTTATGAATAAGTTAGTTTAACATAAGGCTGAAATAAGTAGTGTAGGGTTTCTCTCTATGTGTTTGAAAATTACATTTGGAGTCTTAGATGATAATTTTGAAAAGAAGATGACAGCCACAGGAGGTGAGATGGAGGAAATGATATTACCCTGTGATCTTTGGAATGTCCATTTCATTGGGTACTTTGCATTTTGGGTACTTTGCATTCACATTGACAGCTCATTTGAATTGCCATAGAAATCACTTGGCAATTATACTAGTATAAAACTGGCGATAAATTATACCTTTGTTTGATTTTCCTATACTTTAAATATTATTTTTAGTTATTTATATATTTCAATTTCAGATGTTTGGCTTTGTGTTAATCTACAACGGAAACTCTGTTTTACTTACATTTCTGTGCTTTATTCATTCTTTTTTAATTTTCTTCATTTTAAAATGTCTTCACTTTCTTCATTTAAAGTGTCTACTTGTTACAGTATTCCAAAGAACTGGGAAAAAGACTGAGGTCTTTTCCCAAGTTCTCATGTGTATATTGATGTGAAAATCATGTAAGTCTTTTGCCCTTCATCTTTCCTTTGCTTTCAGCAAGTGTTTCTTGTGTTAGATTTCTTCTGTGGTAAACCTTTCATCCTTAAAAACTGTGTATATTCTTTATTGAAGATACTGTAACCTAAGAAAGCACTATATATCCCCTTTAAACAAGTAACCTAAGAAAGCATGGTATATCCCCTTTAAACAACAACATGATGTTTTTAAAGCTATAATATTTGTGTTTCCTGGTAGTGCTTCTATTGGGTTAACCAAAAAGTTCATTCGGATTTTTACATATGATCTTACAGGAAAACCTAATCAAACTTTTTGGCCAATCCAGTAATTCACTGACATTTTCACCAGTGAGTCTTGTCATAAATTGTCACAAATAACTGAACATTTGTAGTTCTTTTCATTAATATTCTTCGGAGTTCAGACTGCTGATGGTCCCATGTTAATAGAAACCAGTTTATTTCTAAGTACACTACCTTTCTGTTACTCAGAGATTCACATTTGAGTATTTATTTTCTTTGTCATTAATGCTATAAAAATATAAGAGACTAGATTTTTTTTTCAGGAAATTGCTTAAATTTTAGTTATTAAAGTAAAATTTAGGAATCTTGTTTTGCAGTCAGTAGAAATAAGTGAAAAGGAAGTATCTATTTTGCTAAGATTTTGTAGTAAGTAGTATTTAGCTTTCTTGGGAAAAAGAACATTATGGTTTATAACCTTGATTCTTAAAATTTAATTGAGGTAAATGAAGAAAACTCAGTGTTATAAAGATATTCATTACCAAGGCTTTTACTCAAGGTATAGTTACATGATAAGCAAAAATTACTTAGTACAAATGTTAATTTCTCAAAGGATAGATTGCAATAAAGATACCTATACGGAAGTAATTTTTTTGTTTTTGTTTCAATTTTGCTCCCAGTTCCAACTGCCTGATCAGAGAACTTGGGTAAGTTTTCTATTTATATTTTTGACTAAAATAATGTAGCATTAAAAGGAAAACAACTAATATTATAAATTGCCATAGAGAGATTTCTGAGCCCTTTTCCTTTAAATGATAGAGCTTTAGCAGATAGATTTTCATCTTTGTCAAGCTGCAAGATACTTTCAGTTTTAGTTGGACATTTAGTGTCTATAAATTATTTACAAAAAGTTTATTCTCTAAATCTAACCCATTCCATAGTAATTGTACCTTGATGTAGAACTCTTTCTGAGTACTTGGGAGCATCTGTTAATAGGGATTTCAAGATGGGTCACTAAGTGGAAACAATAATTATTTGGGGGAGCCTGTACCAGCATGTTAAAGATGTTTATGATAAGGCCTTAAAAAAGGATAAAACCTGAACTTATATGTAGACGCAAGTTGACATTGTAATTCACATCCATATAACCCAGGGCAGAACTTGGTTCTGGCTGTGTGGATTCACAAGACTAAATGTTTAAAAATCTTTATCTATCTAAAGAATATATCTTTAGCACTGGGTCCCACTTCTTCAGGCTTCCTGGTGGCTCAGCAGTATAAAATCTGCCTGCCGGTGCAGGAGACGTGGGTTCTATCCCTGAGTCTGGACGATCCCCTGGAAAAGAAGTGGCAACCCACTCCAAAATATTCCTGCCTGGGAAATCCCATGGACAGAGGAACCTGGTGGGCTATAGTCCATGGTGTCTCAAAGAGTCAGACATGACTTAGTGACTCAACAACACCAACAACCCGCTTCCTCAACTTTCTTTTTAAATTGTTAAAAATTTTTATTCGAGTATAGTTGATTTATAGTGTTGGTAGTTTCAGATGTACAGCATAGTGAATCAGATATACATACATATATATCCACTCTTTGTTTTTAGATTATTTTCTCATATAGGCCCTTATAGAGTGTTTAGAGTTCCTTGTGCTATACAATAGGTTCTTATTAATTATTTATTTTATATAGTAGTATGTATATGTCAATCCCAATTTCCCTATTTATCCTTCCCCTCAACTTTCAATTAATATTTCCAGATATAGTAAGTTGACATCACTAGGAGACAGCTTTATTTTTTATTAAATATACAAGGAATACTATTTATTTATGTTTCACCCCTAAATAAACCTTGAGACAATGAAAATGTATAAATAAATACATGTATTACAAATAACATGTATTACAGAATTTCCTCTAAGTGTATATGTTTTTACTCTTTTATTCTCCTCTTCACTCAGAATTATACTGATTTTAAAGTATGGATGAAATCTTGAAATATAGTTCAACTTTTCCTTAGTCACCATAATATTAAATATAAATTATTTTAAATTAGAACACTTTGGCACTTACCTATTTCCTCTATCTGATGTTAGTTTTCCTTTACCAGAAATTCTTCCATTTATTTCTTCTGTGGAATATGTAAGGAATTGTGGATTTTTCTCATCCTATCAACTTTTAAGGTTTAAGTTCACTTATTTCCACAGTATAAGAGCAAAGAGACAGAGACTTCCTTGTTAGGTAAAATTGTGTAGTAACAGCATTGTTCTTTGGTTATCCTGTCTTATTATTTCTAGTGTTTTTCGGTCTTCCTTCCCTGGCAAGGGTTTGTCTTAAATATCGTGCTGCGTTGTCTTCGTTCTTTCTAATGTTGACTTTTACTTGCTGGTAGCTTTGCTGCTAGCTGCTTCGAGAATAAGGTGTTGTCTCCTATGCAAATGGCCAGTGCTGCTACAACTTGCAAAGACAGTTCAGATTTTAAGTTAAATGCCTTTTCCTGATAATGCAATGGTATAGCAACTGCCATGACAATGCTTTGGAAACACTCCCACTCTTTGAATCCCAGATTTTGCAGAGCAGTAATTTATATTTTTATTATAAAATGGATATTAGTGGAAAGTATTAAATATTAAATTTTATAATTTTTAGTGGTTGAAAGCTATAATTTTATAATCATGACTGCAGAATATGATACATGGAATGAGACAACCATAAAGTATGAATATTTATTTCTCCCTCAAATGGCCATGATTTTAAGATTTCCCAAGATTATCAAGTGAATAAATATAGAAAACTACCAAATCTACAAACTTTCCCATCATAAGTTATTTATGAAAAGTTAGTTGTTTTATGATAAAGGCATGTGTACTCTAATTTGTGAAACATTAGGTCACATAATTCATGGTGCCATTGGACATATCATTTTGTATAATCAGATTGTCACTTTAATAGTTTTAATGAGAAACTTCTTTATGTCATCAATTATTGGCTGCCTGATAAAAAAAATGTTAAGCTAAGTGCTTCAGACCCAGTTGATGTTATCTTGCCTGCTGAAATGTTTTTACAAAAATGAACTATTTGACAAGGGAGATAGTTACATTTTTGGTAGAAGCTAGGGAATTGTGTCTAAATACTAGTTTGCGTCAGTTTAAAGTTAATAGCCTCTTGGGAACTGAAAGGGGGGGAAATGACTTCCTTTTCCAGACATCTGGCTGCAGATACCATCAACAACTATAATATATGTAAATAAAAATCACTGTTCTATAGGAAAAAAAACCTGTCATTTACTGATTGGAGATTACTCAATGACATTGATGGGATATAGGGCAATATCTTTCTAAAAATATGATCTGATTTTTGCCTCCCCTTTTCCCCTTATTTTCAGCAAATTTCCTATTCATTGTAGTACATGTTGTCCCCTTCCTTTTTATTTTCATAATTGAAAAGTAATTTGTAGCTAAATTGTTTCATTTATCTCAATTCATCCTGATTTTTTAAAATACAAAGTGAGACTTTAAAGTGAATGTCAAAACTTACTACATAATAGAAAATGAATGTTTTTCTAAGAGGAGTATCACGTGAGTCAGTCTAGATAGCTAGAGGAAGTTGAGGTTTTGACCAATACCCTAGATAAAGCTCTTCTTAATCCCAAGATATGGAGTAGGACTGATTGTTGATCACAGAATGGCTAAACTACCCCAACTAGCAGATGCCTAAGTCACTTATTCTTTTTTAAATTAACTTTATTGGGGTATAGTTGATTTACAATGTTGTGTTAGTTCCAGGTGTATAGCAAAGTGAATCAGTTATACATATACATGTATCTACTCTTTTTTAGATTCTTTTCCCATATAGGTCATTAAAGAGTAATGAGTAGAATTCCTTGTGCTATACAGTAGGTTTGTATTACTTATATCTTTTATACATAGTAGTGTGTATTTGTCCAAGTTACTTCTATCTGTCCTGATGGAGAAATTTATTCTTTTTCAGCTTATGTTAAGTACATGAGAGCAAATGTTAGGAAGATGAAAGAGAGGATTCAGTGATGGCTTTTATGTTGCTTTGGTGGTTGCTAGCTGGAAAGAAAGTGGGTGGGTGTGTGTCCGCATGTGTGGTGTTAACAGTTACTCTCAGCTCACTTCCCATCTTTCTCCTCTGCTTCTTCCCCACTCCAATTTAATCTTCTTTTCGTTTGACACCAGAAGCCAGAGGTGGAGGTGGCTTGTAGAGGAGGCACCTGCGTAACCACTATTCTTTTTCTTGTTATCCTTAAGAATACTGTCACTTAGTCAAGTCCATAATATGTTTTTTTATTTCTTGATGCTTTCCCAAGTTGAAACAGTTTGAGGTAAAGTAATCACAGTGATCTTTCTTCAAAAGGAGCTATTAGTAGCTCCTAAAGCAAGACACATTTCTCAACAGCCAATTGCTGTTAAATAACTTGAAGGACTTACAGTTTATATGTGCTCGAGATAAAAGCCGAGAATAATAGCAGTCATGAGTAAGCTATTTTCCATATAAAAGGAAAGTGTTTCTGTAAGATGTATTGCCACAGGAATCTGTGTGTCAGCAGGGCGGACACTCAAATGATTTAAAACCACTAGATAATGAAACTTTACTCAAATATTAAATGTACATAAATAAAACATTTATAATCATCACCCTCGCACTTACTATTCTTCCCCATAAATGTATGCGATCATGACCCTTACCCTTGCTTGTTACTGTTAATCAGCTTGAAGGCTAGAGGTCATTTCTCACTCAGACAATTTATTCCATGGAGGGTGGGTTATCAAAATGATTTTCTGAGAAGAACAATTAGAAGGAATAAATGCAAATAAAATAGTATCATAAAATATTTCTGGATTGATTTTTAATAAATAAAATCCGAAGTAATATGAAAATGCTAATGTTCTGGCTAGAGGGGAATAATGACCATATTCTGTAGGGACAGAGTTTTCGCCAACCTCTCTGAGCAGCATCATCATTCCATATCTCTGCCCTGTGATCAGTATGTGTCAGAATCCTTCATAGTGACAAATGTGCTGTCCACTTGCATCTGTGGAGAATGTTTTAGCAGCTGAGTGATTATGAATCAAGCCTCTGAGCTTACAGCCCCTACCGCCTCCCAGTGCATTCACATTTGTCGTCTGACAAGTAAATGTATCTTGACTTTCCTCTGAGACTTTTTTTGCACCGTGTTTGATGAAAGACATTTGGCAAATTGGCAGTGGTACCCCGTACGTTGCAATTTGTAGCTTGCATTAGGAGTCCGGGCATGAAATGAGAGGGCAGACTCGAGGATAAAGGGAAAAGAAAGAAAGCTAACTACAATATGAATAGTCATTTGAAAAATCAAGCATATAATATTCCCTTTGTAAGAAGAGAATCATGTTTAGGCCATTCACTTAAGATTTTGCTCTAGTTTTAGAAGTCAGTAGTATTCTGCCCAGTCATGTGTCCATGTAATATAAATTTTATTAATTATCTCTTTGAGTACAAATTGTTGCCTTTTATTTTTAACCTGAGCTCAAAATAAATTAGGCCTCCAACTCTGTCTTGCCATCTTATCAGCAGAAGTATCATTTTCTTGAGTTGATCAGTTGCTTGAATGTGCAGTTTTTACCATTTTTAATCCTTGCATGAAGTCTTCTGGTCTACTGCCCTAGCCTTTGGAGAAACATACAGAGTGTATACAAAATACAAACACCTTTTAAATGGCTTTCTGAGTTCTCCAGTGGCTGAGTGCCCTGAGAACCAAATAAACAATGGGGATGAGTTGATTTTACAAGATGGCCTGGGAGTTTGCTTTTTCTACTCACAAATTCAGTAGTAAGCAGCTTCCAAATAAAATGTGAGCATGGAAGAAACATTTTAGGGGGCTTGAAAGAAAGGAGAGTCTGTCTAGCTATAGACAGTAAGAATCAAGCTAACTTTGAAAGTAAATACCACCTTCTGATTATGACTCTGTCAAATATGTGTGCAGATAGACAAAAAGTTGGAGATTATAAGCACAATAAATTAGGTTATTTGAGGAGAAGAACTAGGCAGGATACTTTTTCTATGAGAATACTGCCCCTGGAGTGTGGTCATGCCAATGTAATAGGAAGTTATGATAATATATCATGAAGTGTCATTTCAACTCAATCCTTTTTCAGGACCAACTAATATTTTACCAAAATTCTTTGTGTGTGATCCCACTTAAAAATCTAGTATATCGATATTAATTTAACATAAAGTACATCTTACACACTTAATTTTTTCTTCTGCATTACATACATTTGGCTACAGCAGTTAACTTTGGAACACTTGATGTTTTCCATGCTTTTAGTTTTTCTCATGGGACTTCCTAGTTCCTATGGTTTTTATTACTTAGGCAAGGCATACAGAATCTTTTCCTATAATTTCCAGTTTACTATTTTTTACTGTATATTTTAGTTGGTCAGCTTGCAGGCCAAGAAGATGGTGGACTCATGTCCCAAAGAACCATCTTGCCAGATTTAGAATTCAGACTTCTTTTGTTCTAAAAGGGGAGGGGTAGAGTCAAACATCTCCTGGTTCTGGTCAGCCTCCAGAGAAGATGTGTTAATTTCTTCCTTCCTGTAGTTTTTCACAGGTGGACCTAGTGAATAGCATGATACTAATGCTGTCTCTTAATTTAATAAAATCTGTAACTTGGTTTTGCTATCTCACGTATCTCATTGCTCTATTGTATATCAAATTATTGCAAAGTGATCTGACTAAGTGATCTGAAAAATTCATGTGACATTGTGTACGCTTGGTTCTACCTTTGTTATCTTTAAAGTCAATGAATTCTCTCATTTGTTTAATATTGGGACACTATAATCTCTTTCTACAGCCCCTGCATTCAGGAGATTTGATGCTTCCCTTTTATCAATAATGATTTCTTAGTTTGCTAGAGATGACTGCAGCAGAAAAGATCTCTGCCCTGTTCTTCATGGTCTTATGCTTTTGCCTTTCAGATGTCGGCTATTGAAAACATGGCGGAGAAGTTGGAGAGCTTCAGTGCCCTGAAACCAGAGGCCAGTGACCTTCTACAGTCGGTTCCCTCCATGTTCAACTTCAGAGCTCCTCCCAACGCCCTGCCAGAGAACCTTTTGCGGAAAGGAAAGGAACGCTATACCTGCAGGTAACTGCAAAGTTAATCATGATTGGCTTCCCAAAAATCTCCCCTCTGATTTCAAAAGGCCATGCTGTTTGTTTTGGAAATTATTCTTGATTGGATGATTAATAGCAACCATGATAGATTTCAAGCACTTCAACGTACTCTTTATTTAGTGAGATATAAAAATAGTGGTTTAAAAGATTATTGTTCAATGAAAATTTTAACACAGGCTGTTTGGTTGTGATAAATGAGGTTGGAAATGGTCCAAATGCTATCTGTTTCACTTTGATATTTATGAATTTTCTTTCACAGTTAATTATTTTCATCCAAAGGTATAATACTACTGTCCTCAAGCATACATTCATTAATTGTCATGGTATTTAACAATAAGGCTCTTAATGAAGGGCAAATAAGGTCAATAAGTGAGAAAACTAGTTAATAAGTGCCTTCTTACTCATCAGTAGTATAGTAAAGCTTTTATTTGTTTCTGTTTTCTTTTTTTAAAATAAATCATGCTTATCATTTCTGAATTGTCCAGGAATTTGTGGCATCTGACTCAGGCATATCAATTTATCTGCTATTTGGAAAATGTGTTCCTTTCTTTCCAGAAAAGCTTTTACAGGAACATACCTTGATGGATGAGGTCTTAGAATCTTGTCTGATCTGATACCACTCAATGTACAGAGTTGTCACTGTGGCTGATATGTAAAATGAGTTAAAACATTTGAATCTGTTTATATCAACCCAGAGCCACAGCCTCCTGTCATTTTTTTTATCTTCATGTCTGGTTTAGTTTTGCAAATGTAAAGATACAGAGTTAATAAAAGAGGTACATGGAGGGGGTCATCAAAACTCAAGTCTATTTTCATAAACTGCTTGCTTACGCATGAGCAAATTCAACCGGACTGGGTCTCATAAGGCAGCCTTTATTTATAGAGTTATTTATATCTGTAGAATGACTTTGTTGCAAATTTTAAATAACAAAGACATGTGAGTTCCATGCAAGATTAATTAAGTCAGAAATAAGCTTCTGGCTTCTAAGCAGCTTGAGTGAAATATAGGCAATTGTGCTGACTTTTCTCTTATAAATATCTTTTCATAACAGATACTGTGGTAAGATTTTTCCAAGATCTGCGAACCTAACACGGCACTTGAGAACCCACACAGGAGAGCAGCCTTATAGGTTTGACAATGATTTTTACTAAATATCTTGATAACTGTTGCAGTAAATTGGACTTATTGCCACAATTTTAAAAGAGGCTACTTTTGTGCATGTCTTAGCATATGTCTGTTCAATTTTGATCCAAAGAAAAATTAACTATTGGCTGGGATTGAAATTTAGAAGAGTCCTAATTTCTTGAATTGTCTTCTTATATCTAATTTAAAAGTTCTAGCAGTGTCTAGAATAGAAGAAACTTTTAAGAACTGTTAGTCATTTTTAAAATTAAGTGTTCTCTCTCCTCAATGATTCATGCTATTTTAATTGACAATAATCGTAACCTTGTAGTCTCCCTTTTCAAGCCTTAAATCTCTGCTAAGAATTAACAACCCAGATATATCTTAGTTTTCCCAGTACAGCTAAGTCAATGTCTACAAGTCTTGATAGGATGTTTAAAGAATAAATTTTACCTTGAGAGGAGGAAGAAAAGGAGTAGAACAGATAAAATAGAACATATTATAAGAAGGGAGCAGTTCCATCAACAATTTCTCAAGTGCTTCTTAGCCTATTCTCTTAAGTGTCAAAATCATCCATATGACACATGGAACTATGTTTAATTTTAATATTATTCTTTATAAATTAATGATCATAATCACCATCTCCCTTCCAGTTTTAAAATATCATCTGTGTTGTTCAATGTGCAATGCCTTGCACACAGTATCAGATAACTCATGAATATTTCTTCAAAGAATGAATGTTAGTTATTTTAAGTAATACTGTAATTTTATTTTACTTTGAAATTCTTATGGGTTGCATATGTGTAAAATTATTTTTGTCTGAATGTTTACTTTTTTCATTAAAATAAATAATTTATCAGCTTTCAAATACTTCTTTATATACAAGGATAAGAAAGTGGGAAGACCAATGTTCATTTGAAGACAGTTGAAACTTTAGGAGAAAACTAAAGAGACTTAAATTCAGATAATAATAAAGTATTTTCTTAAATCCTTTGCTTTCCTACATGTTCTGTAAATTACAAATCATAAGTAATATTTCCACTTTGTATGTGACAGATTGCATTGGCTATCATAGGTCTCAGAGAGATATAAATGTGGGAAGTGTTAGATGATTTCCCTTTTTGAGAAAATGTCATATCCAAGGAATTCTGCTTAAATGGAAGGAAAGAGTTCCACACTTATATTTTGTTATGGCCAAGGGTCTGGTATGCAGCTATGATATCATGCTCATTTTTCTCTTTTTTTGTACCTGAATTCAGTGGACTTATTCTGCCCCATAAGTAGTGCTATTATTATATATGTATTTTTAAAAACGCAAACCAGAATTTTGCATAGCTGAGGATCTTAAACAATTATTTGTTCAGCTCCTCTGTTTCACAAGTGAAAAAATTCAGATCCACATATGCTAACTGCCTTCTGTAACTGTTGTCGCCTAGTTGCTAAGTTGTGTCTGACTCCTTGCGAACGCATGGACTGTAGCCTGCCAGGCTCCTCTGTCCATGGGATTTCCCAGGCAAGAATACTGGAGTGGGTTACCATTTCCTTCTCCAGGGGATCTTCCTGACCCAGGGAACAAACCTGTGTCTCTTGCATTCTATAAAATCTGATATTAATAGACCCCAAATTAAAACAAAAATCTAGAACTCTGGGTTTTTATCTCATACCATGATCTCAAAGACTCCCACACCCCCTGTGTTTACCAGGATGGCTTAATCACAGCTCATGAGTGTGTTATGTACTTCTTAGAATTTCTGAAACTTAGGATCTGATTTGAGGGTTTCTCCCTGGTGGCTCAGACTGTAAAGAATCCACCTGCAATGCGGGAGACCTGGGTTCAGTCCCTGGGTTGGGAAGTTCCCCTGGAGAAGGGAATGGCTACCTACTCCAGTATTCTGGCCTGGAGAATTCCATGGACAGAGGCTACAGCCCATGGGGTTGCAAAGGATCGGTCACGACTGATCAACTTTCACTTCTCTAAATACCTACTAATTTACTGAAGTAGAATGGAATGATTATAATTTAGGAGCACTCAAACTATTGGTCAAGATATTAACAGAGGAAAGATAGAAAATAACAAATGCTTTTTGGTTAGAACTTCCTTACTGACTGAGTTTATTCATGTTAAAATCGATGCTATTTATTAGATTTAAAGCTTCTATGCATGCAAGCAGTTTGAAGCATGTCAAAGACAAAATGTTTCTTCCTTGTGATTTCTATAGAAATTATTTTAAGTGAAAATTATTCTAAAAAGTTTAATGAGAGTTTAAGTTTTTTCTATCAGTGTTTTTTAGGTTATTCTGCTTAGGACAACACAATTGGCCTCATTTTACCATGGTTCTCATTGCAGTGAACCTTGGAAATTCAAAGAAGGTCCATATATATATTTTTTCAAAATCAGAGGCTTAATTATCAATGCAGGATCTTATCCATTTTTAAATTAATACTATTAATTTAAATTTGATGGACCTCATGATGCCAGAACAGTTTTTTAGGGGGAAATTAAATCAGCCCTTGAGTTGGTTTGCTGATACTATGCCAAAGTAACTAGTTTAACAAATTTATGTTCCCCACTGGACTAACTAGATTTCTGGCATCATGTGGAGACAGCCGTAGAAAACTTTCAGTGGAACAGGGTACTTTCTCATGTTGAGCCCTCGAACTGGTGTATCTGCATTCAGAAGTGGGAGAAGAAGTGCCCTTCACACATGGGAGAATGAGTTAAGGATTTTTTGGTTGCTAAGTTAGAAATTTTCACTCAAAAGTCATCTAAAGAAAGGTGATTTTTCCTTTTAAGCAACACACACACACACAAATCATATAAACAGCTAGCACAATCTTTCCTTTAAAAGGCCAGAGGGAAAAATTTTGTCAATTACCACTCTTCTTCCTTACCATAAGAGCTGGTGGGAAGTGGGGTGGATTGATGAATTACTTTTTTATTTTGTGACTAAAGGAGAACTTCAGTAATTTATAATTTTTGATCATAAATATCATGGAAAGCAGAAACAATTAGTCAGTCAATAGTATGTGCTTTCTTGAGAAAAACTTGAAGCATGGTTTAGAAAAATAGAAATGGAAAACTGGGAGAAATTAAGAATATTGTGTAGGGATGGGTCAACAAAGACCTTGTGCTTTTATTCAAAAAGGAGAATTTAGCACCCTTTCTTTTGTAAAGATTTAAAGGTTAACACACACAAAAAAAATAAAAATAAAAAATAAAGGTTAACACAGTAAAGGCTTTGTGGGCTCCCAATCACTACAGATTATGAAAACCAGTATCTTTGCTATCAGACTAAACTGTTCACATTGCCTCAGTTTTAAAAGTTGGGAAAGTTTATTGTTATTTTGCAGAAGATAACAGAATTTCCTTTAGGATTAGCAATTGAGAAAGTGAGTTTACTAAGAAATTACTTAATCAGGCTCTGAAATTTTGAATTTAAAAAAATGATCTTTTTACTTTATTTAAAGAATACTTGAATCTGTTTCCTGTTTGTTTGCAGAAGATTTAATTGTTCTAAGTGGAAGATAAAACTGCTACCATTTCTTAATGTCTTTAATTTTTTCAGCTTTGCTTGAAATACTAGAACTGATTACCTCGGTAAACTTGTGAGCAATCAAATTATCAGTATTTTATTATGATTTTTCACGAAGTCATAAAAATCTTTGATGCAATCAAAGTCATTTACCAGAATTGAAATCTTGGCAATGTGGATAGTAATCTTTGCTGCAGTGTTGTTTTATGGGTGATAATTTTGGAGACCTGGTTTGCTTGTCTTGAGAAATTTCTTTTGATTTGCTTGCAAATATTTGCTCTGTGTTTGCTTTTCAGATGCAAGTACTGTGACAGGTCCTTCAGCATATCTTCTAACCTGCAGCGGCATGTTCGCAACATCCACAATAAAGAGAAGCCCTTTAAGTGTCACTTATGTGATAGGTGTTTTGGTCAACAAACCAACTTAGACAGACACCTCAAGAAGCACGAGAATGGGAACATGTCTGGTAGGTCATTGACTGTCTTCTGAAGAGGAGATGCTTGGCTTATTCTTACTTTAAAAGACAGTTGTGATCGCTCATCTCTCATCCCCCTTTGACACAAGAATCAGATCCTATTGTGAAAATTTGTAGCACTTTTCCCTTGAGATTTTTGAATGAAGTGAACTGTTGAATAATACACAACTCAGAGCTTTATTTGGACCGTTTTATTTTCTGGATGCGTCTCAATGGGCAATCTCGAGCACATAGATCCATAGATGGAACTCAAAGGAGACTGATGAATCATGATTTTCTAAATCGCAGGGAACAATCTTTGACCCTGTTGGCACAGAATGTGGCCACTGGCCTGGCTGGGATGACCAGAGTGAAGCCCCACGCTCTCAGCATTAACCTAGAAACCACAGCTGCTTTTGCAAAAGGCCTGCAGTTCAGAAAACTCCTCTAGGGGACCTGTTTTAGATATGAGAGATAAAAGACTGTCAACCTGATCAGAGTAGCCTGTAACAAATGATGGTGTGTGATTTTGGTCACAAATTCTTATGCAAAATTAATTTAAAATGGCAAAAAAAAACACTGGCCTTCCTTTAACCCAGGCTTACTAATGCACAGTTAGCAGAAAACGTGGTGATTTTCTTGCCTTTGACTTCTAACGTGTGTGTGTGTATACTCAGTGACTGAGTCGTGTCCAGCTCTTTGTGACCCCATGGACTGTAGCCCACAAGTCTCCTCTGTCCATGAAATTTTCCAGGCAAGAATACTGGAGCGGCTTGCCATTTCCCACCCCAGGGGATCTTCCTGATTCAGAGACTGAACTTGCATCTGTTGCATCTCCCGCATTGGCAGGCAGATTCCTTACCACTCTGCCACCTGGGAAGCCCTTGGCTTCTAACACTTAGATAATATTGGCCAGCTGGCATATGTGTGTGATGCCAATCTAGTAGCTGTAATTGCTTCTAGAGAATTAAGGGAATGACTTGGCAGTGAGGGGAGGGGGCATGCATGGAATCCCTGAAAAGAGATTTTAAGAACAGAGAAAAGTTGCATTCATACAAAGTAGTCTTTCCTTAAGGAAATTATTTTATTATTAACCCTTCCTCTACTGTAAAGGCACATTGCTTATGATTTTTGAATGAACTTTGTACTGTTTGTTTCCCTTGAAGCCAAAACTCTAATGATTGTGGTTTAAAAACACTGGATTTTAGAGACAAGAGTCTAATCTAATACTCAAAAGTGGCAACACTTTCCGTGTACAACGTTACGGTATATCACTATAATTTTTCTAATCAAAATTATTTCAGAAATTAAATAAATAATTAAAAAGGTATAATGTGTCAAAATTGAATACTTACCCATTGGCCCAGATTGTAACTTCATGAAGCTGAAGGGTATTCTAACCATTTGTGTTTGGCGTCTAGACTATTGTGATGAACGATCAAGCCACAGATATTTTGTGGGCAAGATAAGCAAGCAAATATTAGTATAAAGCAAATATTAGTATAAACTTTGAGCACATATTATAGAGTTTATAATTTGTAACTATATGGAAATTTTAGGCAATCTTGTGATACAGCTATTTTGAGTCTAATTTTATAGGTAAGGAAGCTGAAAAACATTCTGTAATCCACAGACCCAATATTGTCTTCTTAATACTGTCTCAAGACTGGTGTGTTCTGGGTCTGCCCACAGCTTAGCTCAACAAAGCAGAATGCCATATTTCCAGCATGTGTTCAGGCTTTATTTGATAACATACATTAGCACAGGGCAATAAATACATATTAACTGCAACCAGGACTGGGTATACAGTTTTTTCTGGCAGAATGTTTTTAAGACCTTTCTATAATTTGCCTCACTCTGTACTCTCATTCTATGAATAAAAATGTTCCCATATCACAGCGGGAGTAGGAGGAAGCTGGTGGGAGAAAGAACGTCTTTGGGAGATTGTACCTCATGATTTCAGTGGTTCACAGTAGTCCCCATTATTCATTGGCACAGATACTGTAGTAAAATTGGAAAGACCTTGACCTCCTAAAGTTTTCATTATTAATACTTGAAAAAGCCTGTTTTAGGAAACAACACTGATCAAATGAAGAAGGTGTGAGATTTCAAATAAGTCGCCCTCTAAATAATAGTCTTTTTCACAAAAGGCTCTCTCTCCCCTCAGGTACGGCAACATCATCGCCTCATTCTGAACTGGAAAGTACAGGTGCAATCCTCGATGACAAGGAAGATGCTTACTTCACAGAAATTCGAAATTTCATCGGGAATAGCAACCACGGCAGCCAGTCCCCCAGGAACACGGAAGAGAGGTACAGCTGGTCTTTCCCTTTTGAAAGTCAGTGATTTTCAGAAATGAGCGTTCTGAAATACCTTTCAGGGCTCATTTTTGTGACACTGCTTTTCTCCTTCCACCAATGGTTGGTGTTTATTTAGTACAGATTAAATACCAAATGTTCTTCTAAGCACTTTATGTGTATCAATTAACTTAATTACCCTAATAACCCTATGAGATAGGGACTGTAATTATGCAATTTTATCACTGAAAGAATGGCGACATTGAAGGTTAAATAACTTGATAAATGTCACATAAGTAATAAACGAGATTTAACCTAGGCTGTCTGGTTCTATGGCCCACGATTTTAGCACCATTCTATTCTGCCTCTCTTTATAGCTAATTAGAATATTTTATCAAAACTTGGCAATTAGATGGGAAAGCTACACAGGGGTTCAGTTGAATCATGACGAATGCTGGTTACTGTTAGGTATCATATTATGTATAATGTATACATACAGTGACAGTTTTTAGTTGTTCAGTCGTGTCCACCTCTTTGCAACCATGCCCATGGACTGTAGCCTGCCAAGCTCCTATGTCCATGGATGGAATTCTTCAGGCAGGAATACTGGAGTGGGTTGTCATTCCCTTCTCTAGGGGATCTTCCCAACCCAGGGATTAAACCTGGATCTCCTGCACTGCAGGCAGATTCTTTACTCTCTGAGCCACCAGGGAAGCCCATGCATATAATGTATGACTATATATATTATGTGACTATATGTATCTATATATGTTAGCATTATATTGTATGTATCTATAGATATTTATACATAAAATACTTATTGTCATCCAAATATCTTTTTTGAAACTATTTGTGACTTCTTAATAAGATTCTGTCACTTCTTTATATGCTTTCAAGGGCATCCTTATTTAATTCCAGCATGTTTTTTTTGGTGGGTATAATTACACTTGTTTTTAGTGACCTGGTGCGCTGGATTTCTCTTGTCATTGTCCACATCAAGCATATATGACTTAATTGATGTAGAAATAGGGCTTTTCTGGTGGCTCAGCGGTAAAGAATCTGCCAGCAATGCAGGAAATGCGGATTCCATCCCTGGGTCGGGAAGATCCCCTGGAGAAGAAAGTGGTTACCTACTCCCATATTTTTGCCTGGGAAATCCCGTGGACAGACGAGTTTGGCAGGCTGCAGTCCATGGGTCGCAAAGAGTCAGACACTACTGACAAACTAAGCAACAACATAAGAATCTAGCATTTTATGTTTTATGTGATATTAAGGAAACATTATTTTATCCAAACTACTGGGTTTAATTTTTCTTACCTGTAAGTTATAAATATCTGGCGTTGAGAACTGTGTTATTCTAAATATAACTATCCAATGGCCTATTAAATTAGGATGCTGCACTAGAAATTTTAATGTAACATGAAATTAGTTAATGAAAGTTTCATTACTTTTTATCACATAAGTGTTGTTATTGTCCTCCGTGTTTGATGCTATTAAAAGTCAGAGTTAATTGTTTCAGGTAGTTTTCCATTAAGGCAGTATTAAATAAGCATTATTTTCCAAGATTATATAAAAATATATGATCACTTCTGTTCTTTAGCTTGTATAAAAATGTCTCTAAGGGAAGGAGGAGAGAATATCTGTTATTGCATGACTCTTCCAGCTTCTGAGAAGCCTGACAAAACTAAACTTTGTGCTGTTGGCTCTGTCTCTCCCTCTGCTTGCCCATGTACGTGTGTGTGTGAGAGAGAGAGAGAGAGAGAGAGAGAGAGGGAGAGAGGGAGGGAGAGATAGAAAGGCAGAGGTGAGGCAGATACTCAGAAGTACAAAGGACTAAGGACAAGTAAGAAAGACAGTCATGATCTTATATTTTAATAATGATAGTTACATGCTACAAATAAGAAATATCGAACAAAAAGCACCATTTGTGTTCTGAGACACCTATTCAGATTTCAAACCCTTAGTTGGAAATTTGTGAACCATAAAACTGCAACATCTGGCTTCAACATGTCTAAACAGCATAGAAGTAAGAAGACTGAGTCATCTAACTTTTCTCCCCTCAACTCCTATCAGACTACTTTTGATGAATAATTTATCTTCTATAAATTGCCACATTTGAAGGCAAAATTAACAAATAGGTTTTCTTAATCACGTTGGCTTTGTTACGTTTGGTTTTCATCCATGCACTCTTTTGTTCTTTTATTTTTTCTTTCATTTATTTTAAAATAACAATTTCAATCCATTCAGGCCAGCAAGTTGGCAGTGTAACTGGAAACTAATAATTTATGTCTGTGCAAAACATGTTTTCATCATTCTTTGATAAAAGAGGTTAAGTGATGGATTGTATAAAAAAAACTTAATGATGATATGACTTTTTCTGGTCAAATGAATTTTTACTATGTGCCTATGTCACACCCAGGATTGTTTAATTTATGTTTTTTTGTGTGTGTGTCCTGGGAAATCTAAATATAAAATTATACTCATTTTTTTTTTAATGTGGGAAATTGATAGGGGTCTATTGCTGGTATCTGATTTTCCATAACCTGAAAAATAGTTACATTGTGAAAATTGTACATGACTGTAACAATAATTTAGCAGTCTCAGCAAATTTTCCGAGTTAGTAAATAGGTAGAACTATAGGATGCCAGTGTGTATGCTAAGTCGCCTGTCATGCCTGACTCTTTGCAGCCCCACGGACTGTATGTAGCCTGTCAGGCTCCTGTGTCTCAGCATGGGATTCTCCAGGCAAGAATACTGGAGGGGGTTGCCATTTCCTTTTCCAGGGGATCTTCCTGGTCCAGGAATCAAACCTGTATCTGTTAAGTCTCCTGCATTGGCAGGCGAGTTCTTTACCTCTAGTGCCACATGGGAAGCCCACCTAGACACCTACGATTGTTTAATTTCTAACAAGCTTTCTGTATTTGGGCAAGTGCCTTAACCTCTCTGATCATGTATCTTTGAAAGGAGGAAGTTAGGAGAGATTCCAAACATTTATAATTATTTTCTAAGTTTCATCTTAATCGTGCAATGAAAGAAATTCAGCTTATACATATTTTAATGTTTCCTTTAAAGCCTGAAAAGCTTATCTTCATTTTATAAACATTTTCAAATGTGTAAAATGGGGACTTCTATGTTATTAAACATTTTTTATAATTAAACTTTCGAATTATATATTGCCAATCCTTGCCACCACTAAAATATTACAAATGATGTTTTAAATATAATAGGCTTCTTTTGCATCATTATACTACACATATAAGCTTCAAAAGATATTTGTACAATGACGCTTTTATATCATTTCCCACCCCAGTGTTATGCTGGGAAACAAGGAATATTTTTACATTCAGACTATCAAGGATGATTTGAACAAAGTACAAAGAAATGAGTTTTCAATCACTTCGAAGTCTCAGGAGAGTGTTTAAGTGCTGAATGCCACCAGTGTCACCTAGAAAGAGCAAATCTGGTTGGTCCTTGGCAGCTACTCTTAACACTTTCTTTGAACTCTTAGATTCTCTTGAAGCATGCATGTTGAAACTTTGGCTGTGTTGCTTATGGGTATGAGTTTTCCAGAAATCTATTCTCTTAAATGGTGCATGCTTACATGGTAATTAGGTAACTTTATGTAGGGAAAAACCTGTGTGTGCTTTTTATATCATATATAACAATATCATTTATCAAGCAAAGGCCTGATAAGAAATAGGAGACTAAGATTGTTTTCCCAGTTCTGCCAGAGGTTCTATTTATAATCTGAATAATCACACAATTATTTTTTTCATTTTTCTATTTGTGAGGGTACATTACTTTCCCATGGTTGCCATAGAGCATAAATGATAAAAATTTACTTGAGAAATGTGGAAAAGCTAAATTATTGCTAGAAAGACATAATAACTGCATGTTTTGAAATGACACCAGTAATTGAACCTGCTTCTTTTTTATGCTTTTGAAAGAATGAATGGCAGTCACTTTAAAGATGAAAAGGCTTTGGTGACCAATCAAAATTCAGACTTACTGGATGATGAAGAAGTAGAAGATGAGGTGTTGTTAGATGAGGAGGATGAAGACAATGATATTACTGGGAAAATGGGAAAGGAACCGGGGACGAGTAATTTACATGAAGGAAACCCCGAGGATGACTATGAAGACGCCAGCACCCTGGAAATGAGCTGTAAAGCATCCCCAGTGAGGTGAGAAGCAAGAGTGGACCCACACAGGGTTACGATTCCTGCTGCTCTCTCCTTCCATAAGCACGCTATTCCAGGGGATAAGCAATTTGTGAGCAATGAATCGTAAAAACTGTTTGAATTAGCAAGGCATACGCAGTGGATTAATTTTAAAAGATGGAAACAAAGTGGCCATGCAGTGTATAAATACATCAATAGATGTGGAACTCTGATTAACCTGAGGAAGGAAGGGTAAATGAAAGGTTAAACAAGTACATAATCACTTATTTAGACTCCACTTATAAAACTCAAAGAAAAATAGAGCTTTTGGCATTATCTAATTTATTCAGTTTATCATGTGTTATTCAAATATTATTGACAGAAATATCACCTTATTTGCTGTATATGGAATCTATATAGATGATAAATGTTTGAAAGGAAAACATTAGCCCAATAATTAAATTGACAGGAATATTATATTTTCATATGGATAACTGGTGCCAACTGAATATCATCATAACGGGCTTTATTTTAAATGGAGATTGTAAATGTTTGAATTCTGTCTCCACTGCATTGCTGACTTCACATGTCATTGACTTTAATTCTTTATCTCAAATATTTTCTTGCTTGAGTCATGAAAAATCTTATAAGAAATATATGTATAAGATAGAATATTTGTAAGTTTTTTGAAGAATCGATGGAGGCTACTTTCTACTGCAAATATAATATGATGTTTGACAAGTGTATGGGATGAAATAAAAAGTGATTTGGTTGGATATCAAACTGAAAAAGAAAAAAAACAACCCTCTGTGCTTTCCCATTGGTTCATTTTAGGTATAAAGAGGAAGAATATAAAACTGGACTTTCTGCTCTAGATCATATAAGGCACTTCACAGATAGCCTCAAAATGAGGAAAATGGAAGATAATCAATATACAGAAGCTGAGGTGTCTTCTTTCAGTGCTTCCCATGTGCCAGAGGAGCTTAAACAACCGTTACACAGAAAGTCCAAGTCACAGGTACATACTTTTCTGCAGCAGAGCGTCCTGGTGACATTGTGCCTTTGACACCAAAGGCAGATACTCTTTGCAATGTTCAAGAATCTGAGCAGGTTCAGATGCTTTACTCAAAAGGTTCCTATCTCTGCCTATGACTGAATCCAAAATAGTCAACCACTACAGCAAGTAATATGACTGGATTCTGCACAGAAATTGCTGTGACAAACCCTGGCCTCCAATAATCCACCCTTTCCTTTGCAATCACCTTACTTTTGTATAGATGGTCCATAAACATTTGATTGCACCTATTTGGAGTAGGAAACGGCAACCCCCTCCAGTATTCTTGCCTGGAGAATTCCATGGGCAGTACATGGGGTTGCAAAGAGTTGGACACAACCTAGCGACTAACACTTTCACTTCATTTGTATATGACTTCAGAATTATTTTCTAATCGCTTTATGTCTATAATTTTTGTCAAACTAGTTATATTTTGATATTTTTGGAAAGTGAATTCTATCCCCTGTTTTTGTTTCTTACTGTACATAGTTAGTAGCTTCCCTTGTAGCTCAGTTGGTAAAGAATCTGCCTGCAATGCAGGAGACCTGGGTTTGATTCCTGGGTTGGGAGGATCTCCTGGAAAAGGAAATGGCAACCCACTCCAATATTCTTGCCTGGAGAATCCCCTAGACAGAGGAGCCTGGCAAGGCTATAGTCCATGGGTTTGCAAGAGTTGGACATGATTTAGTGACTAAACCACGATACATAGTTAATATATAAGTCAACTAATGATAGAATTTAGAAATAAACTAAATTTAGGAGGGTCAGAGTTGAAATGAATTGCCAAAAGTCTATTGCCAAAATAGTAACTTAATGGCAAACCTAGAAATTAATCCTGTCAATTTTGAATGAATGAATGAATGGTACCCAAGTTCGATGGGGTTTACAGCAATCTATCAGCACTATGGTAATCAAAATAAATCAATCTAAGGATCTATAAATATCATTGAAAAGAGCCTCAGTTCTTCTTCCACAAAAAAAGGAATCAATCCTTTCTGCTTGACATCTGCACTCAACCAGTTTGTTTATTCAGGTCCTTTTCTAAAAAAGAAAAAAAAAAACTTTCTGTCGTTACCATATTTGTTGGTCACTTTGGTCTAATTGTTTGAACCTGAGTACATTTTGGAGGTGGCCCTACATACCAAACTGTGTGACTGTGTTCATTACTACATTTGGAAATTTTCTATTTGGCTGAGATGTTTTAGGCCATCTTAATAGCAAATGTGGTCATATCTCAACTAAAGTGGGAAAAACGTTATCCCACTGGGATAGTACCAATTTTAAAATATTAGTAAATTCAATAAAACATCTTAAGATGTCATGTATGGTAACAGACAAAACAAATGTTCTTTCTGAATTGAAGTGAAAGCAGCCAGCCTCATCTCTGACTAGCCTCACTTCCGTGGATTTGAGAATATCACTTCACAACTATGGATACCATTTCCTCACTGTAAAGTGGGGTGAGTGGAGAAGATGTCTAAGATCCCTTCCTGCTCTATCATTCAATGGTGATAAAAATTAATTTTTCAATTTCTAACATTAAAAGTAAACCAGCCAGTTTAGACATCTCATTTTCACTTGGAGATAGTCTTAAGAAGTGGCTAATGTTTTTTGGTTTTTTTAACTCTTAGTTTCCCATTTTTCCTTCCTTATTGATCAGAGAAACTGGGGAGCCAACTTTTCTTTCTTTTTTTTGAAAAAAATTATTTTCATTATTCCAGCCCAAATTATAAGACATTACAAGGCACAATACTGAAAATTCCTGAAACTGTCACAAGTGATAGGAAGTAAACGGTCCTGGGAACCTAGAGATATTGGAAGTGATATATTTCAGTACCAGCATTTTGATATATAAAGTCCCTGCCCAATTGGGCTAACAATTACCCTCACGAGAAATATTAGAATTTTGCAATTTTAACTTGTATTTTTATTGTTACTTTATAATGTCATATATATATATGTATATATATTTATATCTGTTTGAAAATGGTCAGGCCTTTTTGCAAACTGACTTTGTTTCATGAGACTTTATTCTTTCATTCCATTGTCGCTGTCAGTTTTGTGCTCAGCACTGATCCTTGTGCATGAAAATGTTTATTTCCTTTGATTACCAAAAGACAGATATTCCATATTTACCACTTTCTAGAATCTGAATAGATTCAGATGCTTTACTCAAAACTCATACATTTACTCTGTGATTTTTATAGTGATTGAATCCAAAATAGTTGACCAATACAACAGTGGCTGCCCTCTGCATGGGATTTTCCCTGAAAAACCTATCCTACAAAAAGGTAGTTTCAGGAGGCATGTATGCATGCACACCAAGTTGCTTCAGTCGTGTCCAGCTCTTTGCAACCCTGTGGACAATAGCCCACCAGGCTCTTCTGTCCAGGGGATTCTTCGGGCAAGAATACTGGAGAATTGCCATTCCCTTCTCCAGGGGATCTTCCCTTCTCAGGGATCGAGCCTGTGTCTCTTATGTCTCTTGCAATGGCAGGTGGGTTCTTAACCACTAGTGCCTCCTGGGATACGTGTAGTTTCAGGATGCGTGCGTGTGTGCTGTGTCTCTTCAGTCGTGTCCGACTCCGTGTGACCTTACGGACTGTAGCCCACCGAGTTCCTCTATCCATGGAATTATCCAGGCAAGAACACTGCAGTGGGTTGCAGTGCCCTTCTCCAGGGATAGTTTCAGGATAACAGGTATTACTTATATCAGGCACACTAAGCTAAACACTTTATGTAAGCTATGCTTATGGTTCCTCCATAGCCATGGGAAGTAAGTTATTATCCACATTGTATATGAAGGAAGTAACCTTGAAAGATTAAGCATCTTGCCCAAGGTCACACAGCTAGTTGAACAGAGGCAGGATAGAAGCCAGGATTAACACTCAGGATTTCAAAATTTTCTCTCTGCTCCCTTTTCTTTTTCTGAATACCAGAATGAGTTTTGTTAAAACCATGTCAGACTAATCTTTCATCTTGATCTGTAAATGTGAGTACATAATTGGAATAAAGTTAAGTGCTCACTTCACCCATACTTTAAACCTGCAAAGGAGAAGGACTCTGTATTATTTATCCTTAACTCCCTAGGACCTAGCACAGTGCCTGGCATAGAGTAGATGCTTAAGAAATATTTTTTAAACGTCTGCTGAGATTTTGCAGAGGTCCAAAAGGCAAATTGTAAGCAGAAAAGTCAAATGTGTACATTTAGAGCAGTGACCCAGCAAATCAAAATCAGCCTGAGAGGGCAGATTTTCTAACTGTATGCCATGATTACAGAAGAAACCACAGACCAGCCACATGTCTCAGCATGACTCCCAGAGATGAAATTCTGCTTCACAACAGAGGCATTTTGTCTTTGTTTACCGACAGTGGAATGCCTTTGGCAGGACTTTAATGATTCCACTTCAGCAGCATTTTGACAAGCAAGTTAGCAATGGATGAGACCAACAATAGCAAGTCAACAGTGAAAAGTTCACTCCCAAGTCAAGACCAAACATTTCATTTGAATATTTTACTTGGCAGCAAATGGGGAGATTCTCTGAACAGTTATTTAGAATTTGACATGATAATAGGTAAGAGAGAGCACTTCCTCACAGAGCACCCCTGTAACATCTTCTGTTTGGCAGACCCTGGAGCCCAGGGGTGAGAACTTTGTTGGGTCTTGTGATTTGTTTGAGTGTTTGGTAGAACCTACTTGATCTACCTCGATTTTCAAGGTCTTTGAGTGTCAGCATTGAATATTTCAAGCTTGGAGAGGAAGTGGAGAGAGGACACTGGCTTCGGGCAGATAAGCTTTTATTGATGCCTTCTCAGTGTCTAGTTAAGTGACTCTGGCAAGTCTTTTCACCTTCAGGGCTGTCAGTCCTCCAGAGAAGTAGTCTGTGGCATGCTTCCTTTAGATGCTTCCACAGTGCTGTCAAGGCAGAGTTGTCTCTTATATGTATTTTCTGTTTCAGTTGTAAGCATTCAGTAATATTTTGGGTGAGTCAAACACATACCTCAACAGTGGAAGGATGGTTATTATATTTATGGCTGGGGAGGGGGATGACTCCTGTTTCTTAATAGAGACATGATTGTTATTCTAGGTAGGACCATTAACTTTTTGTTCTGCAGATTGTGTCACTTTTGTGGCCCTGAGGCGCTGAAGGCCAGCAGTAACTCCATGCCATTGTAACACACGAGACATGTCCCACACTTTCCCCAACACACCCATGAGGGATGCTCCTTCTCAGGGTCCCGTCTCTTCCTAACGTTCACCCAAGATAGCCTTCAAATGAAAAGCAATGTTTTCCAAATGCCACTTACGGATTCTCTCCTCTCTACCCCAGGCATACGCTATGATGTTGTCATTGTCCGACAAGGAGTCCCTGCATTCTTCATCCCACAGTTCTTCCAACGTGTGGCATAGTATGGCCAGGGCTGCAGCGGAGTCCAGTGCCATCCAGTCCATGAGCCACGTATGACATTCTCAAGGTTGACCGGAGTGGGACCAAGTCCACCAGTAGCATGGCTCTTTCGCGTAGGACTATTTAAAAGACTGCTGAGCAGAATGCCTTAGAAACCTGAAGGGTCACTCATGTAAAGTCTGGGGACCTTAAACGGAATGATTAAAAAAGAAAAGAAAGAAAGAGAAAGAAAGAAAGAAAAGGAAACTATTTATTCTCGATATTTTGTTTTGCACAGCCAAGGCAGCTGCTGACTTCTGGAGGATCAATGCGACTTAAAGTGATTCAGTAAAAATGAAAACCTTGCTGGGCAGAAGGCATCTTCCCATTTACCTTGCCCTTGGGAGTGGGTGAGCGAGAGGAGCAGTTGAGATGGCGGCATGAACACTCCATAGAAACTGAATTCTTTTTTTTTGTACCTGACACATGATTGGGAACAGTTGCTTTTAATTACAGATTTAATTTTCTTGCTTTGTTAAAGTTTTTATGTAATTTAACCCTTTGAAGACAGAAGTAGTCGAATGAAATGCACACTTGATTATTATAGAAACCGATAACAGGGAGTTTCCCATTAACTTTTGCCTTCTTTAAGTACATTGTTTAAAACTAGGGAACAAGGGTATGTGTATATTGTAAACTATGGATGTTCAAATGCTCAGAGAGGTTAAGTCAGTGAAGTAACCTGTTCATCACCAGTACCGTTGTACCACTACACTAATAGAAGGTTTGCCAAATCCTTGTAATAACATCTTAATTTTAGACAATCATGTCACTGTTTTTTAATGTTTAATTTTTTGTGTGTGTTGCGTGTATCATGTATTTATTTGTTGGCAAACTATTGTTTGTTGATTAAAATAGCACTGTTCCACTCAGCCACTACTTTCTGACGTCCAAGGCACACCCCGTTTTGAATTGCAAGGACCAAGGTGACTCGACCTGTGTATGGGAGTGCCAAATGGTGTTTGGCTTTTCTTAACATTCCTTTTTTTGTTGTTTTGTTTTCCTTCTTAATGAGCTAAATACGAATAGATGCAACTTAGTTTTTGTAATACTGAAATTGATTCAATTGTATAAACGATTATAATTTCTTTCATGAAAGCATGATTCTTCTGATTAAAAACTGTACCCCATATTTTATGCTGGTTGTCTGCAAGCTTGTGCGATGTTATGTTCATGTTAATCCTATTTGTAAACTGAAGTGTTCCAGACCTTATGTTAAAAGAGAGACGTAAATAACAGACTGTATTCAGTTATTTTGCCCTTTATTGAGGAACCAGATTTGTTTTCTTTTTGTTTGTAATCTCATTTTGAAATAATCGGCGAGTTGAGGTACTTTCTTCCAATGCTTTGTACAATATAAACTGTTATGCCTTTCAGTGCATTACTATGGGAGGAGCAACTAAAAAATAAAGACTTACAAAAATGGTTATTTTTCCCACAGTGTCGTATTTTCCCTTCTCATGCAATTTTCATTTCCCTTTGGGATCCAGTGATTTAAAGATACGCCATCTGGGACTTTGATGCCCTAACAGATACATGGAATGTAGAGGATGTGTCTATAGACATTTGAGATGAAATGAAAGATAGCCCTTGGCCCATGGGAAATTGGACTCTCTCCCACTCATTGCTCTGGACTTTCTCCATGTGGTGCAAAGTCAGGGCTCAGGTGCAATAGTACAGAGCCCTTAGGATCACCCCACGTCTGCAGCACCCATTTTAGTTAGGACAGAGCAACCTAGTCTTTTTTTTCTTCTTCTTTATTTTATGTAGTACATGCCAAAAGGTGTTCTGTGCTTATTCTTGTTTTTAATTACCCAAATACTGTTAACTTATTCACAGGAGGATGGAGACCCTTTAAATTTTCGATGATCATTTTAAGTCTTCATTCACATGCAAAATATCATTTTTTTTCATGATTAGAAGCAGAGGGTAAGATATGATTTTGAGTTTTCTTTCTTTACTCCCACCAAAAAATTCATTGCATATTGCTACAAATTCTTCAAAATAATCACTTAGCAGTTTCTCCATTTTCCACAGTTTGACCTACAATTTCTTTAACCATTTCACTTCTGTTGAAAATTTATGTTTATACTGCTTTTCACTAGTGTAAGCAATGGTATTTTAATTTTCATGGGGGTAATTGTTTCTATCTGTTAATATATGAATGCACAGGTTTGAACTGTGGTGAGTGGTAGTTCCATATTATAAATTCTCTAGTGGAGGAGCCATTGTGAATATTTTTTGAACCTTAAATATAACACCAGTTGTTTGAGAATGTGGCTTTTCAACCAGGCCAGCTATAGAGGTTTTAACAAGGTCTGAAGATTAAACAAGTATGACACATAGAAGTAGATCCAGACTAATTTCCCTGTTTGTTTATTTATTCATTCTTAGCCAAATTGCCAGATATGGAGAAACTTCCTACATCCTTTCTAAATGTCAGTAGTATAAGAATTAAATACAGGGGGGGAGGGGATAAATATTGCTTTTTAAGTAGAAAGTGGGCACGGGAAGTATTCAGAAAATAAACTATAAATCTGGGCTACACAGAAAGAGAAGAAGAATCTAGTGTTTGAGACATAAGAACAACACATTCAAGAAAGTGGAGACTGGGAACATGTTACGCGTTTCTCTTTGTTTTAAAGAAAATACCTATAAATTCTGAAGCTGTTTGAATATTCTCAACACTACTGAATTCTTATTAGATTCTGAGCATGACATTTCAGTCGTTTGCTAATGTTTAGCCCCTCCAAATTCCAAAGAGGTTTCCAAGCCTCACATTTCAGCTTTCTTTTACATTCATCTCGCCAGCAGTCCTGCACCACATGGCCCTGTGGGGAGACCATGAGATGTGGTGGAGACAGTGTTGGATTTGGAAGGTGAAGACCTGAGTTTCAGTTCTGGCTCCATTCCTTTAGTGGCTTTGAGGCCTTAGGCAAGTCAGATAGCTTTCAAAATCTCATCTGTGAAACCAGAGTAATAATACCTGCTTCTCCTGCTACTGTACTGGGTTTCTGTGGATGTTGAAAGTCAAAATATATTTTTATAAATATTTGGGAAAAGTTGAATACATGCAGGCACTTCATAATTTTTATGGTGGTAGTTAAGAGAATAGAATGTGCATCTGTGTGTGTGTTTATACACATACACAAACACTATGCTAAGAAAAAGTTTTTAGAATATAACAAATCTAGAGTATACAAAAGTGGATATGGGCCTTTTTTGGAAAAACTGTATTGAGATACAGTTGATTTGCAATGTTGTATTAGTTTCAAGTGTATAGCAAAGAGATTCAGTTATACATACATATATATATGTGTATATATATATATGTGTGTGTGTGTGTGTGTGCATGTGTGTGTGTATTATTGTTTACACCTTAAGTCACGTCCAACTCTTGTGACCCCATGGAGTATAACCTGCCAGACTCCTCTGTCCATGGGATTTCCCAGCAAAAATACTGGAGTGGGTTGCCATTTCCTTCTCCAAGGCATCTTCCTGACTCAGGGATGGAACCCATATCTCCTGCATTGGCAGGCATATTCTTTAACCACTGAACCACTAAGGAAGCCCATATATATTTCTATAAATAAATAAATAAATATATATATATGTATATACATGTTCCTTTCCAGATTCTTTTCCCTTTCAGGTTATTACAAAATATTGAGTATACTTTTCTGTGCTATACAATAGGTCCTTGTTGGTTAGCTACTTTATATATAGTAGTGTGTATCTGTTAATCCCAAACTCCTTATCATGTTTCTTGAATAATATGTAGCTTTGAAAAATAAAGAAAACTCAGCCCTTTGAGAACATGAGCCATCCAATCTAATTGCTGTGTGCTCTCCAAAAATTCAAGGACAGTTAAGAAAACACATTCAAAGAATAAGCACACACATACTTTTATTTTCAGATAATGACCATCAACCAATCATTATTTTTTTATACAGAATAAATAAAATGAGCTATTCATTTTTAAAACTGACTGTTAGGCCAGTGTCATGCTAGGAATGTGTACATCCATTAGCTCCATTAATCATCACAGTAGGCCTGCCTGCAGGAAGTATTATTCCTGGTTCACAGACGAGGAAACTGGAGCTTAGAGAGTTTTAGAGCCTATTCCACTGCCACCCTGCTGCGAACTGGTTGGCGGAGAATCCATAGGTGCCAGGCTCCTTAGCCCGTACTTAGTCAAGCATCTCAGACCTCCTGGTTCAGGAGCAACTGAAGAAGTCCAAAAAGGTCTGTTCCAAACCAAGGCTATGTGCCAAGAGAGGCACAAGTCTAACAAGGCTATGTCTCCAAACCAAGAGAGTAAGGTTGTTGGAGATTCAAATATGCCCCAGAGATTTAGGCATCTGAGTCTTGACTATGAAGAGTTGGAAAGGTAAGTGTCAAACAGTGGTTCCCAGGCTTTTTCTACTCAGGTTATTTCAAGTCAGAACCATAACACTTGACCTCTTAAAAGATCTTAAATGCTTCCTTAATAGGAGGAAGGTCTGAGTCATTTTGTTTCCATATTTTTAACAGGTATCTTGAATGTCTTCCTTATCCCTTTTCAAACAAAAATTTACTCCAAACTTAACATTTGAAATTATTAACATGACATGAGTTAAGCCCTTTCTAAAATAGTTAGCAGACTCATTGTGAGAGAAAGCAAAAGTGAAAGCAAGTAGAGTTGATAGTGTGCTTATTTCATGTTCTCCAGGTTCAAAGAATTATTAATGGAAGGATTATAGGGAGAAGTGGGATGACTGAAAAAAACAAAAACAAAAAAAACTATAGTCTGGGTCCAGAAGACCCAAACAGAGTTTGGAGAGCCAACCAGCTCTTCCCTCAAGAGACTTTGTATCTAATTGTTCATTATAGTCTGCATGACTCATTTATGAGTACGAGACTCTTCTTGGTGCAACATTTAGAAAATGATTAAAATATTTATAAAAAGGAATGTAGAATGGAAACCATTAAACAATCCAGAAAATAAAAAGTGCTGGCAAGAGTGGAGAAACGGGAAA